CACGTTTCCAACATAATAATGATTACCTAGGTCGCATTTACCGGAAGTGCAGAAGCCTGTACTTTCACACAGGGTTGGTGGCGGAGCTGGTGTCTGGGTTTGAACGACTGTAAATGTGATATACTGTAGTTATGCAGTAACAAATGTGTGGTCGGTAAAATGTTTCATTAATATATTTACAAACTCACACGCGAGCGCAATAAATCTAATCCTATTTATAGAAAAAACTCAATTGTTATTTTTTGTATTCTACTATTTCAAACATCATTCGAAATATCGCTGGTAAGCTCTTTTTTTAAACTTGAAAAAACAAAATTCATTTTGAACGAGTTTATCTTGCTACATGCAACAAACATCATTATTTATGAGCGTAATATATACCTGATCTTTACGTCTATAAATTAAAACAAACATCTCTACTCTGTATTCTTAAAAAATACAACTAACTTTCTATCGTGATGAATTGAATCCTACCTGAAGGTGCTGAATCTACTACCGTGTGGTGGTGGTTGTGTATTGCACTAGCACCTGCTACAATACCAGTCCCAGCTGCTAAGCCCAAACCGGCCCCTATTGCAGTTTCAGCTGCAGCCCCTGCAAATAGCTCTCCGAACAAGGATCCAAGCCCAAGCAGAGCTACCGCGAACTGTCTCTTCTTCTGTTTCTGCTCCGTTTCGTCTTTAGCCAGGGTTGTACTAAGTGTGGCTACCACCAAGCAAATAACAAGGGTCTGTTTCTTCATCTTTTTTCTGTAATAAAATCAATGGGATTAAACTTTTTTTGCTTGAATATTTTAATCCCTTTGTTATCATATTTTAGTAACCTTTGACCTTGTCAGATTTTTTAAAAACACTCTCCCTCTACAATTCCACCTGAATTACTAGCCATACGTGACTACTCTTATCACACTGCTGTATGTACATAGCGAAAAAACATGTATTAGGGAAAGTTCTTAAACATTTTCATTGCCAGCTTTGAAAACTTACACCTCTAATTGTCGAAAAGCAATATGTCAATTAATTTACGCGGAATTACCCTTGATAATTTGTCATTATGCTGTGGTAGGGATAATACACTAGTAGATTGCTAAAAGTTTGTGTGACGTTTCGATGACTAATTAGAAAAAATGACCAGTAAAGCATATGAGATGACCATGAAATTAACAAGTCGGTACAGCTACACTTTAATGTGCAAAATTACAATCAAGTCGGTTAGGCTTCACTTTAATGTGAAAAACTATAATCAAGTCGGTTCGGCTACATTTTAATATGCAGAATTACTATCAAGCCGGTTCGGCTACACTTTAATGTGCAGAATAACTATCAAGTCGGTTCGGCTACGCTTTGTTTTAAAATATTGACAATATAAATACTTACATAATGCAATTGACGAAAATATAAGGAAGTATAGTAACATTATGTTACCTAATCAAAGAGATGGGTATCTTTTGTAATTATATTGTCGCAATTTCTATTGACTGTATCTTGTATTCGTTTCCCAACCAGACACCGTTTTAAAAAAAATGACGATAAGAGCATTTAGCCATTATACTTCCTTTCTCAATACACCAGTAGTAAATAATTATTGTTCCTTATTCCTAGCTACATTTGTGTACTTATAATGAAGAAATTAAGGTAAAAATCAAATACTTCTTTAATATATACAATTCACGAAAACGAAGAGTACCGACTGGATGCAAAAAGGCTGGAGAGTAAAAAGGAAGATGGTTACAGTTACAAAATAACTAGAATGTTGTTAAAAGTGTTTAAAAGACATTGAATATTTTTTCCGTTTCAGACAATGTATATATGCTTGTTTATCATAAAATTATAATCTGCTTTGAATTAAAAATAACAGAAATCAATTAACATATGAATGAGTTATCACATAGCACATTTGATGTTTCTGATTTCATATCTAATACACATATATAATATCTAATATCTAATCTAACACACAAAAACACTACTTTTTGCCAACAATGTCACGAAACAAAACATAAAGTACAAGTCTCGTAAAGGGATAACAATGATAGTTATACAATGAAAATTATGTGTAATCTTTAAGTACATGTATTCTGCATTCTGCTGGGAAATTGTGTAAGTAAAAACAGTTTTTGTATGTGTTATTTTTCACATAATTATATATAGACTTCTCATTATATTCCTTTCATTGTTAAAGTCTTGTGTTGCAGTAAATATAGTCTTGTTTTCTCTCTCATTAAAATAGCGCAAGATGCATCATTAAAGTCTCTCTATTCATTACCCCCTTAAACGTACAATAGAGCATGGTAGTACAAAACTTACTGTATAACGTATTTCTCTCACTAAAAGCGTCGTCTCAGTCTGACGTCAATTCTCTTATTTTCGCTTTATATAGTATTTAAAAGGAAGAGAAAGTTGACATCCTCGAGATAAAGTGCTCGTAAACACGTTCGAAATAAAACCATCTGTTTATGTGTTTGTACTACCTTGACCATTACCAATCCCGTGCACTACAGAAACAGTATCCTTCTGTTCTATATCCATTTGTGGGCGGTAACGTTTGGAATACAACCATATGTAGAGTGTTTCTACTTCCTTGATAATTTTAAATGGTATCAGAAAATTTTCGAACCGCATATATATACATTGGAGTTTGGACACTTGCGATTATTTTACTAGGTTTTATGGCGATGAGATCAGTATTGACAATAACGATTATATTAATGAAAAACAAAAATTACAATAATTATGTTTGGATACCGTTTGATATTAACTGATAACTTCTGTATGTTCCAATTATTTTTTAGTCCTGTTCCACAAATTTGGGTGCTTGTAAATAAATACATATAATTCGGCAAGTCACACATGTCAGAAAATTAATCGTTAAAAAGTACGGATTGGGGTTCGTTAAAAAATACACGGGATTAATGAATATGTCAATTAGTGAAATATGCTTCTTTGATGTTTCATTTAGATTAAATAGATACTTTAGAGGGTAAGAAACGCTTTCTTTTCGAACACAAATTACAGCCTTGGTGTTATATCTAGCATGGGTAGGAGTAAAATAAATTGCAATCTCTGTAATTATCAAAGACAGGAGTTCAAGTTAGTAAACTGTGATATGTCAAAAATAGAACGACTTTGGTGTAAACATATTGAGGACATTGAATAATAATGGTGCCTACACTATTTATACCTATATGTGTATAACTTTTTCGTACAATTGTGTAAGTTATAAAAGTCTAGTTTCGAATAACCGAAAAGAATATCTAAAAAGTCGCACTTATTTGCAATATGATGTCAATTGGCGAGTTATAATCTCAACTATCAGCTTTACAGCAAAATTTCTAGAAATAGTTGGTATATGTTTCATCTATGATGTTGCTATTTATCTAACAAAAACTGGTTAGACTCAAAATGAAAAAATCTAGAAATGTTCCATTTACTGTAGGTATTCCTATGTCCAAGGCAACCATAATCATGTTTGACAATCCGTAGTGTTACTCATATTAACGTGAGTAATGTCAAAGTTGAGAAAGACTATACAAGAAGGTGCACAATGCAGGTTATTTAACCGAATGAACTATCAGAAAATATGGTTAACAAGATATGAAATCAAATCAAAAATACATTAGTAAAGAAATATTGAGGGCCTGTATCGCTCACCCAAGGATGATTTAGACCAAATATGGACATAATCATGTCATTCCTACAGAAGAAGAAGGATTTAAAAGCTATTTTTCCTCTATGGTCCTGCCTCTCTGCCAAAAGGGGGGTCAGACCCACCGTTTATACAAAATTGGTTCCCCTTCACCCAAGGGTGCTTCATCCCAAATTTAATCAAAATCCTGACAATCCTATAGTAGAAGAAGGATTTTGGAGAATTTGTTATGTTTCCCCTATAGGGGCCCGCCCTTCTGGCCCCAGGGAGTCCAAACCCACCATTTATACAAATTGATTTCCCTTCCAAATATGATGCTACTGTTCAAATTTGGTCAAAATACCCTCATCCCAACGGAAGAAAAAGGAAATTAAAGTTATTCCTCTATATCCCTTATTTGGCCGCGCCTCTCTGCCCCCAGGGGGGTCAGACCCATCGTTTATACAAAATTGGTTCCCCTTTACCTAAGGATTCTGCGTACTAAATATGGACAAAATCCTGTCATTCCTACAGAAGAAGAAGAATTTTGAAGAATTTGCTATGATTCCCCTTTTGGGCCCAGCTCCTGAGCCCCAATGGGGGCCACATTCACCATTTATAAAAAAATTGAGTCCCCTTGGCCCAAGGATGCTCCAGACTAAATAGGGATACAATCCCTTAATCCCTACCGTAGAAGAAGGATTTTAAAGGTTTTAACTCTATTTCCCCTATGGGGTCCCGCCCCTCTACTCTAAGGAGGGGCACACACACCGTTAATACAAAATTGAGTCCCAGTGGCCCAATGAAGCTCCAGACTAAATAAGAATAAAATGTTTAAATCCCTACGGTAGAAGAAGGACTTTAAAGGGTTTTACCGCTATTTCCTCTATTGGGCCCCGCCCCTCTGCCCCCAGGGGGGCCACACCCACTGTTTATACAAATTGAGTCCCCTGGGCCCAAGGATGCTCCAGACTAAATTGCGACGAAATCCCTTAATCCCTATGGTAGAAGAAGGATTTTTAAGGTTTTACCTCTATTTCCCCTATTGGGCCAGCCGCTCTGCCCCGAGGAGGGCCACACCCACCGTTTATTCAAAATTAAGTCCCCTTGGCTCAAGAATGCTCCAGACTAAATAAGCATAAAATCCCTTAATCCCTACGGTAGGAGAATGCTCCAGACCAAATTTAGTTAAAATCTTTTTTGCCGTTAAGGACAAGTAGCGTTTTAAAGGAAAAGTCTATCTTTCTTTAATAAAAGCAACACGTGTGCTTTCTTTCAGCATGAAAAAATAATGGAATGATTATTAAAATTGTAATTGGAAACGAAAGTGATCTGGCAGTGGTTTTAAACCTACCAATGTAATTTAATTAACGAACTCTCAAAAGAAGCGCCGCCTTTGCATTTTTGCACTAAAATTACTGATTTACTTCATAATTTGTCAATATTATGGAACTATTCAAACGTACAACTGTCTTTGTGATTTTTTTTTTATCTCCGAATACAAACGTATAGTGAATAGGTCCAGATAAATAATGATGCAAATAATGCAATCAGACATATTTCTAATTTAATTCCTGATTTTCATTTAATTTCTTTTTTTTTTCATTGTGACCCTTACCGCTATGAAATAGTTAAGAACCCTTTCATAGTCTTATTCGCGTCGAAAACAAAATCAAAAACAACAAGTTGTCAAGGAAGTATGAGCCCTTTTGCATATGGTTGTATTCCCAACATTATCGTACACAGAACAATACTTTAGTTTTTTAATATGTAATGGCCATGGAAGTACAAACACATTCACAGATGGTTATGTTTCGAACGTTTTAAATTATCTCGCAGATGTCAATTTTCTCTTCCTTTTTAGTATTATATAAAGCGAGGCGAAGGGCAAAAACCTCAAATTTAGACGACAGAACGACGATTTAGTAGAAGGATTACGTGTATACAGTGAGTATTGTTCTGTCACAATTTTAGATTCGTTTAAGCAGGTAATGCATAGAAGTAACCTCAGTGGTATATCTTGTATTATTTTGCGGAAAACAATAACTGCAACACAAAAGATTTATCAGTATAAGGTATGCAATGGAAATAATATAGGGTGTGGTGAAAAATATTACCCTCTGATGCTTTTCAAAATGTTGTTTAGTTGACACTGCAAACTAAATAACATACAAGTGTATGTATATTTCTATCTAACATTACTCTCATGTTATCTCCATTCAGCACATATTTTTTTGCAGCTTTAGGATCCCCGTATCATAAGTTGTACGTACAAGATAGTATGTTTTACGTACAAGATAAACGTATCTATGTAGTGGCCAGAATACGCTGCCCTAGACTGGTTCATCCAGTAAAAGGAATAATGTCTTATATTATTTCAGTGAAAATCCATCTTTATTCTTGATAAGTTTAAGTGTATCATATGCAAAACATTTTGTTGTCATGTAAAAGTTATATTATTCAGATACAAAAGTTGACATAATTGTGAAAACATTTTTTTCTTATAAATTTCCGTAGCTTTGGATCATATTGGTGTTTAGTTTTGCTTTTATTTGTTTTTCGGTAATTTCGCATTAATGGTTTAGAGTATTGTCACCCAATGCCTCTTACTTTCCAGCTGCCGACGTAAGCATAGGTAATCAGATCATTTTTGTCAACAAGAGATCGCCGGTGGCAGTAAACTCGACTTCAAATGACAGTTACACAAACATCTCGTAATTGGTCGAAAATCTTATTTATTAAAAGTTTTAAAGCACACGATAACACCTCCTTTCAATGCACACTTTTTTCGCTATGTGTACAGCAATGTGGTAGGAGTGGTCACATTTGAGTAGTATTTAACAATTCAGATGGTCATTAAGTGTGGACGGGGTTTTGAAAAGGAAGAAAAAGGAAAACTAAGAAGTGCTAACAATGACGCACCAACCACATGTTCTAGCGAAAGGTACAGTCAACGCCTATGGAGATTTAACATTATCGTCGGCCCCGCTTGGAATTTCAAAACAAGATAAATCCAAAAAGGTATGGGTTTAGGAAGCTTAAATCAAGAACAGTTAGTTCCAGAATTCATTTTATGATAAATGGGACCTCATTGACTTACACCTGTGTGGGTGTTAAAAGTGCGGTAATATAATTCCTCCAAGAGCATTTAAATAACACAATTACTATAAAATTATATAATCATCGTGTGTCAAGAAAGAAGTGTTCTTTTTATTGAAGATTAAAGCAGAAAAATATGTGAGAGAATTTCCATTTTTGACACGTTAACATACATAGTTCTAAACCGAGTCTATTTTTCATACTTGTTATATCTTTCAACATCAGGAATTTCAAAAATATTGACAACCGGTAAATTTGTCATATAACACTTTTGATTCAAAATAAGTTTTCTTTCCACTTTTTCTTTAACTTGTGTTTCTTCATGACCAAAGGTCCTTGAGGCTTGATATTTGGCAAGTAGGTTGTTCATGTGAATGGATTGAAGTTTTGTAAACGTTGATGACCTTGATCTTCGTTCAAGGTCACAAAAATCATATGTGCTAAAATATTGTTTTTGTATGGGGACTAAGACAAGTATATCTTTCCTTGCTTTATTTGTTTAGAGTTAACGATGTAAAATAATATTCTTTCATATTTTGTCATATAATGAATGAGCAATATCCCCGTTCCTATATTAACCAGATCTGTAAGCTAAAGGCTAACGAAAGCAAAGCATTTCAAATCAATCCATATTCTCCCACCAGCAATTATTTAAGTATATATGTCACTGGCATACTTCCTGTTATTACCCTATCTGTAAACTTTCATTGAAATCGGCTCAGTAGTTCATGAGGCGGACAAAGAATTTTTCAACAAAGGGCCACAACTCATTTTTAAAGGGTCGGAATGAAAACATACTACTTGGATGCACAATGTCAGGGGGCAGTTACCATATCTGTAAACTTCCGTTGAAATTGGCCCCATAGTTTTGGAGGAGTTGTGGAGGACAAGTATTTTCAACAAAGGGCCATTTCTCCGGAAAAAAAGGGTCAGACTGAAAAAGAAATTACGTGGAAATTGGTCCATTTCTTTAGAAGAAGTTGTCCGGACATTTTTTTCTACGGACAGAAAGACGGACAGACAAGCTGATTCGTTGCGGGGGGTATAATAAAGTGTAAAATAGTTTTACTATTAAGATTATTTTATTGTTTTTTTTTTTATAATTGCATATCTTTGTCTATATGTCAATGTCAACCTTAAGTAACTCTCCGGAGGAAAGATTACTTTGGCAGGATACATATTTATGAGTTCTTACTGCTGCACATAACTTTAAAACATGCGTAATATAATAAAGTGATTTGGTATGATACAAGAACAGAACATGTGACGTTATTTACCATAATTAACATTGATACTCAAATCTCCATGATTATGTTAAACTGGGCATTGATCTTGTTTGGCATGCTCACAAAGTACTTTACCGGTTTTTATATTACATAAAAATGATTCTGTAGAGATAATATATGTATGGAAAGTTTGAAATATAGACTACCATTATAACTATATATAGGCAAGTTTACAATATTGGTTATAATTTAAATGTGGTGAAAATTTGTATGTTTTTCTAATTATAAGTTTCGCTACGCTTACTCCATGTATACCAATACTCAACCTGCTGTTATACAAGGAGGTTCACTACGGCTATCAGTAGTAATTATGAATAATTATTTATGCAATTATTGATAAATTTTTTGTATCTACATATGGCAAAAGAATAAAAGAAATCAAAGTGGGGGCCAAATGTTGACCTCACCTTTGATTTTCGCTGTTCTGTTTTTTCAGAAAACGATGAGGAAACAGACCATTACTCTGTGCTTAGTGGCAGCCATACTTAGTGTAACCCTGGCAAAAGACGAAACGGAGCAGAAGCAAAGGAGACAGTTTGCTTTTTTGCTTGAATCCTTGCTCGGAGGGCTTTTGCAGGAACTGCAGCTGAAACTGCAATAGGAGCAAGTTTGGGCGCTGGTCTTGCTGCAGGTATCGATGCAAGTAGCACCTCCAGAGGGGGTGATGACAGTAAAAACATTGCAACAAACACTTGCACATTTTATACGTTGAAATAGTTTATTCAATTGCATCAAGTTGATGATACAAGCTTTATTCGATAAAGTTTAATAATGTATAATATCATACCAACTGACATTGAAATATTCATACTAAGAGTAAAATGGACAAAGGATTGTGTAATCTTATTGTCAAAAATACCACTTTCGGTACACATTGTAATTCCGAACAAGAAACAATAGTATTATAGTAACAAACAAAATTATGTTACATTAATTTTATTGGAAATTGTACAGCATTGAAATATTGAAAGATGTCCTTTTCCTCCAATATTCATGTGTCCTTTTTGGAATATAAGTATACCCTCTAATCACGCCATACATCTAAACTGACAACGATATTTTATTAACTGTAAAGCACTATATAAACCCAAAGCAATATTTCCCCATAAAATGTTGATCCAAAATGCTTAATTAATCCGATTTCATTTCGCAAACCTCATTAAGATATCGTTATGCATATTCACGATTTCCGTGCTAGAATAGGCAATTCGAAACAAATTTGCAAATACATAAGATTTAGACGAGATCACCTGTGTAGGGAAAAGCTCTCAGAGTTCATCCCTGATAATGCTCTCATTGAAAAGACATTGGCCAACTGGAAAAGAAAAAAGGTAAGTCGGTCACCTTCAAAGTCAACAATGGTAAGGAAGGTATAGTGCAACAAGCGGCGTACAAAACCTCTTGCCAGAGCCATCAAAAAAATCGATCGATCAAAATCTGGTTTACTAGGCGGTGACAATGCTGGGCTGTAAGTCAACTTTCAATTAGGATGACGGTTAAAGTAACTGATAATTGCTTACACAAAACCTGTTTGATATATACATTGTCATTAAGATACCTCTTTTACAACCTCCAGTGCAGAGGTCATTTCCTACAACAAACATGGATGCAAACTCCTTGGAGATAGTGGGTATGTAAGAGAAACAAGTAATCAAACTAGTAGCTGATTGTGGCCAGTAGTTTTTCAGCCCAGTGGTATGTTAACATTACACGATGGAGGCATAACAAATCTCACAATTCTCCGATGAGAAAGGGGACCTACGATAAAATTGGATTTGAAAGATATCTACTTTACAATGTCTGTTTTCCTCAGTCACAGGGAATTTCTAAAGTTTGTTTGGGGGAACACATGGTGCGAGTTCCAAGCAGTGCCTCCCTGCTCCTCGACTCTTCATCCAACTCGTAAACCCCTTTCAAAGACGTCTTGGAATAACACCGGTAACTAACCTGGAGGGTATGATAGTCCTCAATCAGTGTCAGCAAGGGTTGTTGAGGAATCTCAATTGGTTTGCATTGTAATTAGACCGTCTTGGCTTCTTCGTAAACTGGGCGAAGTTTGTATGTGCCCTCACATAATAGAGTTTTAGGGTACCTTGTCACCTCGGTAGAGATGTCTGTCGCTGCCACACAGAAAGAAATGTCAGACAACAGTAGTCCTGAGAGAAACACCTGCCAGACAGTTGGAAAAAATATTGGATCATTTGACATCATCACTCCAGCATCCCTCCATTATCGATATTAAAAAATTGTCACAGATACAGTTACTTTTAGTCCACAAATCATACCAGGCCATAGTATCTCTGGAGGAGTTGATGGATGGATTTGTCAGACGAAGTTTTAGAACGATAGAGATTGTAAATTATTTGTCAGAATGCTTTTAGAAACGGGATAGTTATAGTTATAGGACATTGAACTGTCGTTGATCCGCAATTCCTTTTTTGATGATATGTACAAGACCCTACTTCTCTGTGATGTGGCCACCTGGGATGAGAATATGATGTTGGATTATACGAAAGATATCGGTTCTAATCAATCGTTGACTGATGAAATGTTGACACTGAAAATAATATTCTTTTGGTCTTCGATTCAGCCAGCAGATCCTTCGAACTGTGTGCGATGGACAAACGTTACTTGTCAGAAGCTGATGAATATTTCGATTTTAAAATCGCTAAAAAGGGCCAGCCCCCTTTGCAGGGGTTATTCCAGACGTTGAAGGCGGGACCTGAGATCTGTGTAGTCAAAGTCCTCAAATGCTACTTAGAGAATTCTAACAACGGAGGAAATGTTTGATTACTGTTTGGCACCAGCGCCTGTTGCGCTACGTTGATCCACACAAACCATTGGTAGCTAGGCTGTTGCAGGTTGGTTGGTAAGACTCTTGGGCCTAGCTAGACCTGATGCACATGAGTTCAGTGATCATGTTACAAGGGCAGCTTCGACCTCAGAGGCACAAGTAATGGGTCTTTCCTGTACAGAAATAGTGGAGATTGCCAGGTTGACAAAAGCGATCACTTTCAAAGGGCACTGCAATGTGTCCGAGATATGTTGTCAGACCTAAAATCAGTAAGAGTAAGTTTAAGAAAGCGGTTTTGTCAAACAAAGCCAGCGTGTAAATAATTTGAATAAACATGCAGATGAGTCATACCTATTTACATTGTGGCTTTTACTTTAACATGCATAATTATCTATTATTTTGCGAAATGAAATTGTAAATGCACGTATATCTGTCATGTTCAAATACCGTTATAATGAAATAAACATAAAAGAGACTCCTGGCTGATTTGCTCAGGAAAAGATCATTGTTCGGTTATTTGCAGGAACTGCAGCTGAAACAATAGGAGCTGGTCTGGGCGTAGCCGCTGGGACTGGTCTTGCAGCAGCAGGTATCGAGTCAGCCATACACCATCACCCTCACACGGCAGTAAAACCAACACTTGCAGGTAGGATGCCATTCATAGCGATAGAAAATTATTTGCGTCGTTTTAGAGTAAAAAGTTACGACTGCTCATTGAATCCTTAGATATTCAAGAAAAACATATTCACAAGTAACCAATTATACCTGTATAATGTATAAACCATAGCAAATAATCACAATTCAATAAAATATCAGTATTATTAAATATCACGTTACAGTGGTCAAGCCTATTGACCATACTGGTACTCTGACTGGTGTCCAGACGGTAGTTGTAGCGGCTCCACCGCTGAATTTAACTCTGTGTGAAAGTACAGGCTACTGCACTTCCGGTAAATGCGACCTAGGAAATCACCTATTTCTTGGGAACGTGTTATGCGTCGGGAGCCGAAAATGCTGCATACCAAATGGTACTTGTGGTGTTGAGGCAAGGATTGGACAACTCGAAGTTACAGGTCCCGGGAAGTGTCGACTTCCTGTTACCGACCACGTGTGTCATGATGACGAGAAAGTGACCACTGACCTGACCTGTAATTCTGGATACACCTGCTGTGTAGATAAAAACTGTAAGTGTAATGGCTTAATGAACTTTTTAGTCTTTATTGATGAGAGTGTCCGGGTCAAAAATGATTACCAAATTTACTAGAAATTCACATAGTTGTGATATATTCCATCCATTTAATTAGGTGTTCATAATAGAATGTTTCTTTCGTTTTCCTTTCCATTGTATCATGTACTTATTATATTGTCTACGTTGATTTGATCGTCATGTGGCACACTAAAGTGAATCGACTTGTCTAGGCGATTGCCTCATACACATTTGACAAGTGTAAATATGCTATACTTGTCATTTATCTGATGAAGGTGACAGTACAAATCGTACTAGTCATCAAAACATCGCACATAATTATTTATAACTGGTTGAGTTATATGAACCTGTATATAACACTTATCTACCTACTTGAAGAAAATGTTTTGAAGTTTGTGTACAATAATCATACCTTTTTATTTTTAGAAATTTCGACGAAATTGCAGACAGAAATATTTGAAATGTTAAAGAAATAAAGTGGCATATATAAACGCTTTGATTTATACTTGTTGATTGTTGTTGTTAGTTATGCAACAAAAAGTGTTAAGGGCAACAATCACCCGAGCTGCAATATTCGTTGATCCCTATAAATTGAGGAATGGTGATCAAAAACATCGTTAGATCTCTCAAAACTATCATTTACTTAAAGAAAAGTTGATAATTAAAAGGGGTTTGAGACCGATATTAAAAAGCGGTAACCCGGTTACGTTATCAATGGAATAATGTTCTATTAACGTGAGAGAAAAAAATCATACTTGGTATAAATGAAGCTAAACCCCACTTCGGCTCCCAAAAAAGGCGGATCAAAACAGTATATAACTGAATGGTTAGAGGACGTGTTTGAAAGACAAAGCATAGAACCATCCACGTCAAGATACAAACACAGCTGGACAAACCCGTTCTCACCTGTTCCTTTAATTATCTAGACCTTAAAGTCTTTCAGAATAAGTCGTTTGGGACTTTTTAACACATTTGACTCCTGTACAGGAGTGGGTTTAGCACGTGTATTTGTGAAAACTGGACAGCCTTTCATATAAGCAAGTTTAAGGACAATTCTACCACGTTTGCAATTTAACGACACTTTTTGCTGGTTAATAACCATGGGAAATTGGACGATAGGTCATGCGCGTGCGTGTCATACTATTCTAACAGAACAACGCTCTTCCAAAAACCTCCCCGCAACTAATTCAGTAAACAAGCGATTCGAAGGATTGGTTTCATTTGTCGAATGAGGGTAGCCGTATTTACTTTTGTATGTATTTGAAGATTTGCTAGCGGACAAACAAAAACCTCCAGTTAACCTCTAAATCTACTTAAAACCCGTCAGAATGTTCCGCTAATCCTACTGCGAAGATGACTTGAAACAGTTTTTGTAAATCAAATGCTGATTTCATGTGAAGACTTAATCTCAAGAATCTAAAGAAATTGTTAAAAGACTGTAACAATTTTGACCTTTGTGACCTAGAAAATGGATAAACAAAACACAGTTCATAGCCCTTTATTCCGGAAAAATCAATTGACTGTTGTAATAAATCTGAACATGCTACATTGGAACATTATATACTACTACAATCATTCAATAAGAAGCTTTTTTCGCTTCTTGCGAGGCACTTGAACTTGAAAATGGATTTGTGCCTTCTTTTGCGAATTTGACAATAATAACGTAAAGTTGGGTAAAATCAGGATTTTTCAGACGGAAAACAGCTACTTTCTTATATTTGGAATAAGATTCATCAGTCTGGTATCAATAATAAAGGCCAGATTTATTTTGAATACAAAGAGGAATGCCAAAAAACAGCAAATCTACACTAGAAATTAAGGAAATCATCGGAGAAACAATACAATAAATCAACCATTATAGACCATGCTAACACACACAACCACATCATGGACTGGGACAACTCGAAAGTGCTTGAAAGGGAGGACAACTGGAAAGTCAGGAAAATCAAAGAATTCATCTTGGTTAGGAGGGAAGAGGATTCAATGAACAGAGACAAAGGGGGCCACCAGCCAAGCCATCTTGTTGACCCCAGTTTAAACTCCACTAAGGGGGCGGAATGGGTTAACATGTTACCCTCACCCCCACGAACTGCCTGAAGTATTAGCGTGCAATTGGGCGAGATGTCTCTATAATTTTTGACAGCTGATTTTACTGATTCGGCCCAATGTGCCTTAGTGAGTTGTTGTCAGCAGTTTAGAGTCGAGACATCGGTCATTTACATTCTTTGCTTGACAAAGGAAACAGACGTTTTCGAAAGCTCGCAAAATACGTTTTCAATTCCTATTTGTGATCAAAACAAACCTAGACTTTCTAGTTACATTTGTACTTCATTAGTTAAGAATACAAACTAGATTTCGGATTTATTCTAGTTTCTTGTAAACGTTGTGAGTAACCGATGTCATTGACGAATAAAACATTAACAAGAGCACCGCGATCGGAAGCATGATACGCCCGTCAGACCCTCGGAGGGTATTGATATATTGGAAGCAGGTAGTGACATATGATATAAATATGTTTACTGTCACCGTTTTGTTGGTGACTGTGCCCTTGCCATTCATTTACTGTGTTTATGGTGCAAGCTATTTTGTGACTCAGAATTACACTGTCGTGGTCAATGTTGTTATTACTAAAACTAAAACCTTGGCTTTGAGGTAGGAGTGTTGGTATGAGAAGTTGAACGTGACAACAAAACCTGTTATATATGTTAAACATGTTTTCGGTTTTGTATTACCATACTGCATTTGAAAGGAATTAAACAAATAATTAAAAAAAAAAAATGGACGAAATGCCCTTATTTGGCAATGAACAAATTTAAGGTATCATTCTGCCAAAAAGCGTTTAAATGATTTAAGAACTTGTTCAAAGCATTCAGGATATGAGGCAACCAAGTAGCTTAATAAAATTGGAGAACCAATGGACGGACGGACGGACGGACGGAGCAGCCCACACCAATATACGACCAGTTGGACGACGGGCGTATAAAAATAGCTCACACATTAACAACATTACGCAAATATTTAGGATTTTGAAATCGATCCGCTCTTCTGTAAATCGAACCCTGCATCTTATATCTTGCACTTAATTGCTATTATATGAAAAGTCATACACATATATTTATTGTACATATGGGTGTATACAATATGGACATTGCAAATGTCGTGTTATTTTTTAAGGCAGCTGTTATCCTTCTTGAATTCCTGGTTGTTGATCAATACCTAGGTTGTAGTATATTAAACGTCCAATCAATTCTAAACACAACATTATCAAAGAAAAGATTCTCACTCTTTCACGCATTCATACATCCCGTATGATTTTCAAATAAACCAACAACTTACATTTTAGTCTTAAATTGACATTCTTGACTTTGTTACTTAAATTGTCAAATAATGTCTTTATTTGAACGTAACGGGAAAATCATCTTTAGATATAAGCCAGCGTGGATACTCTCATAAACTATTCGAACATATCTAAAGATGAAAAAATAATGAAGACAGTCTTGTTTTTCATTCAAAAGTCCTTCTTATCCAATCTGATTAAAATCATCTGTTAAATGGCTCCGTTAACTTCGTACTACGCCTGAACATCTGTAACAGATGATTTTGATCAGATTGCTTATTATCAACAGTTAACCTACCGCTATAAAATCTAGTAAAATGAACGGCAAAGTCATATTCCGATCGAAACTTGTCAAGGTAGTAGAAACACTTACATATGGTTGATTCCCATCGTTATCACCCACAAATGGATATATCACAGAATGCCACTTCGAGATATACTAACACATTCACAGATAGTTTTAGTTCACACGTACTTTTAGCACGTTGTGTTACAGATTTCAAAATTCTCTTCCTCTTTAACACTATATAAAGCGAGGGAAAGAGAGGGAACCTCAAACTGATACGAGGAATATTAAATAGGAGGAACACGTGTACACAGTAAGTATTCATATTTCGGGATGGTTTAAGAAGTAATGATAAGAGGAAATTTAATTTGACTGGTTATTTTTCTGGGAAAAAATGCAGCACTAAAAGTTTATTAATGAAAGATGTGTTATGATTTTTATATAAGGCAGTGTAAAATACATTCAGAACCGGTACCTTCACAAGTTCTCTGCAGAATGCTGTTTAGGTGAGAATGCACAGTTATAAGCATCAGTTAGGAACAAGTAGCATCACTAGATTACATGTGTTTCCGTATTGTATAACACTCATTGTTATCTCCTTTCAGTACAGGTACTTCTGTCTCTTTTGGTATGAAATCAGTCAACAAACGTGAAGGGGTACGACTCGCCGGTATGCAGTCCAAAGAATAATTATTATTACAGTTTGTTAAGAAAGCAGGGAACATTTTCACGATTACACCAAGCAGATAGCTATAGTCTGGAACAGCAATATCCATAAATTTGAAATACTATTTACCGATATTCTAGTTTCTTGTTATTTTATGATGTAACCATCACCACTTTACCATCTCGCCTTTTTACCGTACACTTCGTTCTCGTGAATTTTGAAATGAAGTATGCTCGAGAGCCTAATTTTATTGAACAAGCGCCTGATTTGCTATATAACTTTCTGCAATATAACCACCCTTGGAATATTGAACAATTCCTATTGCAGAAAAAAGTCAACATGATAAAATCATCATTGCCTGTTCCCTCCACCTTCCAAACTTGAAACGATTTAGAAATTGTATTTTAATTGCTTTAAGTTTAATTTTGGATGGCAATCTCTCTCTCTCTCTCTCTCTCTCTCTCTCTCTCTCTCTCTCTCTCTCTTTTAGATTGTAATTTGAATATTTCACACGAAAGGTTTGTTATACATTAATATGAATATTGTACTTTCCAGTTGCAGACATAAGTATCATAAGTAGGAACAAGAGATCAAGGGTGATAAGGAAATCGAACTCGATTTAGTGTTTCATGTAGACAAGAAAGGCAATTTTACAATCGTTTAAATTGGTATACTAGTATAACGATCATCTAACAAAAATAACTTATAACTGAACTTATCACTTATCGAAAACGGCGGCCGTGCTGTAGATTTTCTCAATGAATTTCTAAACAGCCAAATATTTACTTATTACAGTTAAAGATGAAGAAACAGACCCTTGTTTTTTGCTTGGTGGTAGCCACACTTAGTATAACCCTGGCTAAAGACGAAACGGAACAGAAGCAGAAGAGACAGTTCGCGGCAGCTCTACTTGGGCTTGGATCTTTGTTTGGGGAGCTGTTTGCAGAAGCTGCAGCTGAAACTGCAATAGGGGCCGGTTTGGGCTTAGCAGCTGGGACTGTTATTGCAGCAGGTGCTAGTGCAATACACAACCACCACCACACGGTAGTAGATTCAGCACCTGGTATTGAGGTTGCTACAGGCGTCATACGCGACCCGTACATGCCGCCAGTAGTAGCGCTGTCACCTTCAGGTAAGATATCAAGATCGATAATTGTTTTTGTTTAACCGTAGAGTGTTGCGACTGTTCATTTGAATTCATTGACATTTCAAGAGAGGATATACATAAATAATTAATTACGACTGCAGCAGGTTCTGTCTGGTTTAAAGCTTACATTTTAAAACTTTCTCCAACAGTTGATCAATGGTATTTCAAATCAGTTTTGAAAAAATACTCTGATGAAATCTTTTATTCATCTAACGTTCGTTGTTTTGAACACAATAGTATAGTATTGTGTTTTTGTTACCAAAATTTTGGTTACAACAGCCTGTTCCTTGATGAATTTGGAAAATATAAAATGATTTGTATTGAAATTGGAAATATATTCCTCAGGGTTTTGGTCATTTTGGGAAAATAAGGTACTTTTTAGCTGCGGAAAACAACCTATTTTCGGCAGTAATGTTGAGCAAATAATCACTCCAAAGCATTGGAATACCGATACTATTAAACATGTTTATAGTCGTCCAGACTCAGACGGTAGCTGTAGCGGCTCCACCAGCAAATTCAACCCTGTGTGAAAGTACAGGGTTCTGCACTTCTGATAATTGCGACCTTGGAAATCACCTATTTGTTGGAAACGTGTTGTGCACCGGGAACCGAAAATGCTGCATTCCATCTGGTACTTGTGGTGTTAAGGCAAAAGTTGGACAACTCGAAGTTAAAGGTCCCGGGGAGTGTCGCCTTTCTGGTACCGTCCACGTGTGTCATGATGACGAGGAAGTGACCACTGACCTGACGTGTAATTCTGGGTACACCTGCTGTGTAGATAAGAACTGTAAGTAAATACGAAATAATAACGTATTACATTTATTTGATAAGGTGTGATTAATAGAATTTTATGTTCTTTCGGTTGCATCCTTTACTGATTAGCATTGTCTGTGTTTAAAACAAAGCATAGCAGAACCAATTTGGTGAGTTATTTGTCATGCTGCACATGAAAGTTCAGCTTAATCGACACGTAACACAAGCATTTCACTGATTGTACTATATGAGCCCACATACAATCATTCTTTACCAACCCGAAGAAAATGTCGTTTTTTGTGTACTGTACTTTCGACGAAAATGTGCAGACGATCGAAACGAATTGAATTGTCCGCTTTCAAAATAAAATACTTTTTACATATAAAACGCATTAATGATATTTGGTGTTGTTGGATTATTCGAAATGAGCAGCGTCCTGTCAAATTGTGGAATGTTGGTCACAAACCAGTGTTAGATATCCGGTAGTCTAGAAATCTCTGTTCGGGGTTAAATGTTCTCGAAACAGCCAAAATCCAATGAAGACTGGTACATAGGTCGACATAACCGACAGAGTAAGGTACAGAGAACAGAACGGATTGGTGTTCTCAGATGACGAAAAGAAAAGTCCAAAACCTGCTCAGGTAAGTATATAAATATCCCAGTCGCCTTCGACTGCTGAACTACTAGGTTTAAATTGACTCTGTAGTTTGACCGAGTTCGCTGGAATGTAAGCCACTTCGCTTATATTCACACATTCACAAAGGATGTATCCAACAAAATTTGGTAAAAACCTGCCCATTAGTTTCAGATAGGTTGTCATTTAAAGCAAATTAGCAAATGTTGACCTTTTAAAACGCCCTCAGCCCCTAGTAGGGTTAGTTCCTTTATCTGTAGGAAGGTTTTCAATAATCTTGATCTGGTTTTATCTTTTGAATACGGTACGGTTACTACTATAAGCGCTTTATTCATTGTAAGAAACTAACGGGTATTTCTCATTTTTTTTAAATTCGTTGAAGAATGCGATCAGACGATAAATAAAATTAGAGCCAACGATTATATATGACCCTGTGGCCTTGTAATTATAAGTAAATACATATACTCAAAGATAAAGAGTTTGTAAATCATACTACGATCATCATAGAAACAGCAGGACATACCATGATCCTCATAGAAAGGGAAACAGCAAGTCCTACTACAATCAGCTCAGAAAGGGAAACAGCAAGTCCTACTACAATCAGCTCAGAAAGGGAAACAGCAAGTCCTACTAGTCAGCTCAGAAAGGGAAACGGCAAGTCCTACTACAATCAGCACAGAAAGGGAACAGCAAGTCCTACTACAGTCAGCACAGAAAGGGAACAGCAAGTCCTACTACAGTCAGCTCAGAAAGGGAAACGGCAAGTCCTACTACAGTCAGCTCAGAAAGGGAACAGCAAGTCCTACTACAGTCAGCTCAGAAAGGGAAACAGCAAGTCATACTACGATCAGCTCAGAAAGGGAAACAGCAAGTCATTCAACGATCAGCTCAGAAAGGGAAACAGCAAGTCTAAAACGATCAGCTCAGAAAGGGAAACAGCAAGTCATTCAACGATCAGCTCAGAAAGGGAAACAGCAAGTCTACCACGATCAGCTCAGAAAGGGAAACAGCAAGTCTAAAACGATCAGCTCAGAAAGGGAAACAGCAAGTCATTCAACGATCAGCTCAGAAAGGGAAACAGCAAGTCTACCACGATCAGCTCAGAAAGGGAAACAGCAAGTCTACCACGATCAGCTCAGAAAGGGAAACAGCAAGTCTACAACGATCAGCTCAGAAGGGGAAACAGCAAGTCATACAACGATCAGCTAAGAAAGGGAGACAGCAAGTCATACAACGATCAGCTCGGAAAGGGAAACAGCAAGTCATACAACGATCAGCTCGGAAAGGGAAACAGCAAGTCATACAACGATCAGCTCGGAAAGGGAAACAGCAAGTCATACAACGATCAGCTCGGAAAGGGAAACAGCAAGTCATACTACAATCAGCACAGAAAGGGAAACAGCAAGTCATACTACAATCAGCTCAGAAAGGGAAACAGCAAGTCATACTATTATCCTCACAGATAGGGAAACAGCAAGTCATACAATGATCCTCACAGATAGGGATACAGCAAGTCATACTATGATCCCAAAAGGATTAGTAAGTCATAATATGATCCTCATAGATAGGGAGTTGGTAAGTCATAATATAATCCTCACAGATAGGATGTTAGTAAGTCGTAATATAATCCTCATAGATAGGGAGTTGGTAAGCCATAATACGATCCTCATTGATAGGGAGTTAGTCAGTCATAATATGATCCTCATAGATAGGGAGTTAGTAAGTCGTAATATAATCCTCATAGATAGGGTGTTAGTAAGTCGTAATATAATCCTCATAGATAGGGAGTTAGTAAGTCGTAGTATAATCCTCATAGATAGGGTGTTAGTAAGTCGTAATATAATCCTCATAGATAGGGAAACAGCAAGTCATACTATGATCCTCATAGATAGGGAAACAGCAAGTCATACTATGATCCTCATAGATAGGGATACAGCAAGTCATACTATGATCCCAAAAGGGTTAGTAAGTCATAATATAATCCTCATAGATAGGGAGTTGGTAAGCCATAATACGATCCTCATTGATAGGGAGTTAGTCATATTATAATATTTTACTAAATAAATGAAAATAAACTGATAAAATCAAATATAGCAATATAGGATCATTTATTCATTTTTACCAAACATACAAGAACCTGTTACACTAAAGGAGCTAGATATAATCATTCTTTCATATCAATGACTACACACTCATACCATTCCTTTTAATCTTCAACATGATTTTGTGTGTCTTCACAGAATATCTAAGCAAGCATGGTATTTTTTAAAATAAAAGTAAAATTGCAAGTAAGATTCAAGGAAAGTAGCATATCTGTGTTATTCTTTTCATGACCAGCAATTGCATATATGGTTAAGGGGGTGGGGATCAAAGCTATTTTGAAGTTATGACCCAGAGATTATGAAACAAGAACAGAGTAGAACCTGGTGGCTTTCGATCTTCATCTCTTCATCCTCAGTCCCTATGGGCAGGGCCAGGAGCAGACACTGATGATTAAAAAAAAAATTCAAATGAAGGAGCTGAGGGTTTGGGCCAAAATTTGATCATATTGGTTTGGAGGATTTCTCTGGAATTAAGAGATGGATATCAATTATATTGTTGCGTGGGAACATCCTCAGCAACTTCACATTATCAACCTACCTTCAATCCACAAGCCTGAATCGGCCCTTAGGAACTTAGGCCCTGGCTTTAACATGCTCGTACTGAATCTTGACATCGGTTGTACATAGCAATGTCTATGGCATAATTTAACATGACAATACAATACCTGATGTTAACTTATTTAACAAATCTAAACATATTGGTCGTACTTCTCATCACTAACATTTTATAATGTGTACGATATCTCCATCCAAACCCTTTTTATGCTAACAGGTTTCAGCTGATACAACATCACTAAATTACTTCTCTCCAATCCACTTCATGTATCATATTATTATATATTAATATATACAAATTGATGATGCATAATGCTGTTGACGTGTGTACATTTCTTTCTGTATGTGTATAGGATCTTAAATGAGTTTCCATTTCATATGAGATTTTTCAATTAAACGAGCCTCTGGGTAGCGAAAATGAAAAAATTTGTGACGAGTTTCATAAATTTTATATGAAATGAAAACGAGTGCAAGATTCTTTTTATCACATAATAAAGATTTGTGGCATGTATTCGTGTTAAACGATAATTTTCATGCAACCTTGAAAAGTAAAAAGCCGCCATTTTGACTCCAGTGCGTAATTCTGTGACGTCATGTACGTGTCCTAGGCGTGACGTCAAAATTGAAACAATTGAAACCTACAACCAAGCAAAGGCTGATAGGTCATATTACATGGGTTAATACGCAAAAAATATGATATGGGTATATTCACTGTATAACACAGTACATTATGTGATAAAACTATATTGACAAGAAGTAAGGCTGGAAATCACGGAATTGATCAATCACGTTCATATTCCGTAATCCAATTATTCAAGTTTATTTTCTTAACACGTGTTCTCAATAACAATATCACTATCAGACGTAGCTGTCGATAAAGATTATCAAATGAAGAAAACAAACATGATCTCAATTAACAAGTTCTCTCTATACATTGTACACCAGTAAAATTTACCAGAATCTGCTGCTTCAAGTCAAATTTTCTAAAAATATTTTCTCAATAACAACATAGTCATTGTCCAGCCTATCTGTCTAAAAATCCCACCAAGGGAAGAAAACAAATACATCTTCATGTACAAATTGCCTTTATACACCGTAAGCAAATAAAATTTACTCGAAAAGTAAGAATTTTTTTTGCTAATTTTCAATCATATTAAAAATGATTGATGTGTATCTTGAACTTAATTGTGATTTCATCATTTGGCTGATCACACTGTACTACACTTATTGCCCTCCTGTTCCCCTACTACCAGAGCAAGACATATTACATTATACAAATATAGAACAATAATACAACCATACAGATAATTAGGACTACTCCTAGCAATGTTTGTTGTGATCAGAACACATAAGGTAATAAAGATCTAAAGAGGGATACCAAGACGGACACCTGACAGGAAAGAATTTCATGTGAGGAAGATATACTGTTTTGTCTTCTGGCAATGTAATCCCTTTAAATTCCTTCAACATAGATGCCAATTTTCTTGATCACTTCACCTCAGATAAGGATGTGGTAGATAATAGACATTTAGCTATCTGTTATTACACTCCCATCGATATCCATCACCCATTGTCTCAATAACACATAATTGTAAAACAAAACATTTTTTTTGTACCAAATCCATTAATACAGAGATCTGTTCAGGCAGAATCTTGAACACATTTTTCAGGTAACCTAGTTGTTTCTAGTGAGAGTGGACCTCACGTACAGCATAATTCTGTAGGTCTCACAGCCAATACTCATGTTGGACAATTTTTCCACGGAGACAGTAAGAATTCTCAGTAATTTTCACAAGAGCTGTCTAAATTATAGCTAGGACGAGTCATCTGATCCCGTTTTAGCTGCCATTCTTAAGTGAGGTGGTTTCTGAAGCAGAAAACATAGAAATCCAGATTATACTCTGATCAGACTTCATTTTTATCCATAACATGCATACATTTTAAGTACGGAATATATTGTTTTCCCAATGGTATGGAGTTTGAATAGTAAATAAAGAATTTCCCGATGTTACTGGTATGTAGATTATGTACAGGATATACTGTTTTCCACGTGGTATGAGGTTTAAATACAGAATTCATTGTTTTCCCAATGATATGGAATTTCAGTACACAATTTACTGTTTTCTTGAAAGTATTAACACATGATGAAGCACTGTGTCTGATTCCGGTAACCAATATAAACAACACATACTTGTAAGACCGACATGCTTATGACTTCATGATCTTATTAGTCAAGTTTGTATTTTTTATGTTTGATACACAATGAAATTAATATGGAAACATTATTTTAAATAAAAAACATTTTGTGAAAGCTTACCAGATGGTCTGGTCTGTTGTCCTTCTTGATGTTCTTTTGTTTACTCCTTTTCTTTACCCGTTTTTTTATGTGTCCCTCCTTAGCTTTCTGTAAGTAGAAGAAAAAGATATATATCTGAATCTACCTGTGACCATTTTTCTTAGATTTCTTAGTTCTGTATGTATTTGATACTTTTTCTGTTCAACTGATACAACAAATCATTTAAACTTTCATTTTTGTTTTGTTTCAACAAGCATTAACATGTAACAAAAACATAGAACCTTTATTATTTGATTGTGAGCAATATTTGGGTTAAGAAACAAACGGTTTACCTTCTGTTTTTTGGGGGCTTCCTCTGACACACTTTCTACAGCCGAGTTCTCATCAGTCTCCCATCCTTCACTTTCCTTCACCATATCTTCATCATCTGATTCTTTTTCCTCTTTCTTTTTCTTGCCTTTCTTTTTTGGAGAATCTGGCTTCTTTGTTTTAGCTACCACTGTTTTTGAATCTGCCTTTTTTGTTTTAGCTACTTTTGTTTTTTCATCTGCTTTTTTTGTTTTAGCTACTTTTGTTTTTTTATCTGCCTTTTTTGTTTTGGTATCCTTTACTGTTGTAGAGACTTCTGTTCCTGAACTGAAAATCAATCAATTAAACACAATTTTTACATGGGAGAAAGTTAAAGATATAAACTGTTTTCCTTCAGTTTGTATTACAATAATGCAATACAACTTTGCTGGAGAATTGTGCCGAAATAAACAGTTTGCTTTCCATCAAACTTGCATGAAGTTTTGAAAGCAAAATTAATTGCTGAAATAGTATAAGAAAAACCTTGGTCTTTAAATATGTTATTGATTTTAATAGAACGAAACTTCACACTAGAGAAACTGTTAGCAAGCTCACAAGAATATACCATAACCTGAGGAAAAATAGTCGAAATTCCTTTCTTTCCGCCGTCCACATAAGACAAACTTTTACTGTGTCAAGTTACAAAAACAAATACAACTAGTGATTGAGGAGGAGTTGTGCTTACAAATGTGAATTATAATGTGAAATATTCAGTAGGGCCCAAATAAAAGTACATGTGAATCATGGAATGATAACTATATGTTGACTCATACTATACCGAGACCCAGAGATCCTACAGATATACCCATTGTGTGAGTACTCTGTGTTTGTTTGCATATAAATACAAACAAAATCAAGAAGAGGTTATGCTCACATGAAAATTATGACTTTATTTAAAGCTGACAGTGCAGGTTGAAAAGCTTTCAATTGAGATTTTTTAAAACAAAGTGTTTTTTTCTTCTGGATTTGAGATCTTCCTGAGTACCAATCTCTTCCAGCTGTCGTATCTAAGGAAGTGGCGACATTCTAGAATGTACTTGCTTGGTAACCTGTCAAACCGGTTTTCATTTGTTAAACATGTGCTCAAGGTGACACTACTATTTTACATAAATAGAACACTTTTACGATTTTGATCCAACATATCAGATCAGTTGAATAAAATTGAAATGGAACACATCAAAGATATCATTTATCTAAGAAAAGTGGAAATAATAGTAAAATACGACCAATTAAAAATATGTAAAAAATAATCCCTGCACCCCCCCCCCCCTCTCTCTCTCCCAAAAACCCAAAAGAAACAGCCCTGAAAGATACAAACATGGGAGTGTTGCATTTTGCACCTGCTTAATGCTAGTAAAGCGCCTTCACGATGAAGACTAAGAGTTCATAATAAAGTTTTCGTGTGCGGGTGCAGTTCTAAGCACGTGAAAGACCGATGATATTTGGATGTTTATTTTGGATTCGCTATTTCGAGAAAGTGCCATAAGTAACAACCAGCTTGGCAGTGTTTCAAAGTCTTCAGGTAAGTGCGTTTGATTTTTGATATCGGATGTCGATCAGGGTGCGCCGTGCATTGAATCACAAAACGGTCAGTTGTAGAATGATAACCGATTTGACAGGTAATGCGCTTTTTATACCCAGCAAGACCCATACTCATTACCAAGCAAGGGCAAACAAAAACGTCGGCACTTCCTTAGAAACGATAGTCGTGAGAGATGGGGAGGATCTCAAAACCAGAAAAAAATATACATTTTTTAAAATCCCAATTAAAGCTTTTTAACTCGCACTGTCAGCTTTAATGGAGAAATGATGGAGACACACTTCACAATAATATTTTGGCCAACTTTCAGAATAGCTTGGAAATAACCAAAATTCATTTCCAAGTTTCAGCAAATTTGTTTTAGTAGACTTTGTGCTTAACTTCAAAACACAATTTCAAGGAGACTGCCATAATTGCCATATTGGTTTTAAAATTGGCTCCAAAATATAAACAATTTGCCAGGACCATGTGCTGATAATTCCATTAATTTCGTACAAACTAAGCATGAGTGTAAATTCCTAATAGATTTTTGAAATGGCAGCCATATCAGATTTCAAATAGACCCCAAAATAACAAGATTTGGTATAAAGGACCATGAACTGATCATTTCCATTAATCTTTTCCACTAAGGTTACCAGTAAGCAAAATTGGATTGCTAGTTTGAAATCTAACAAACTGTTATTTGCGCACTAAAGATGGCTTTTCTTAGATATGTGACATTTAGCAAAATCTGAGATGAGCTAGAGTTTCATAAAACAATGATACTGCTATAGATTTACCTTTGTGCTTCTTTTAGTTTCAATATTTGCCTCCGAATTCGCTTCCTTGTTGCTGTAGAAAGGCTTTTGTCTTCAAGTCTCTGAACAAAATAGTTTTGTCGTTCTTCCAAACTCCTCTCTGGGCTCTGTGTAGCATCATCCCCTTCAACCTTGACTTTGGATTTTTTTTTCAATTTTGTTGGCGAGTCATTGTCCATGCTTGCATCTTCTGCTGATCGTTTCTTAGAGCTGGCTGTATCAAAACATTCCCATTAAGGCTATCTTAGAAATATTGGAGCAGGTGAATAAGGTTAGCACAAACATGTATTCAAAATGACATATTTATTAAAAGACTTGCATAATCATCTTAACAATAAACTAGGGTTGTCAACAATTAACCAGTTACTTGGTCAGAAGACTAAACCAGTCCAACATTATATTACCAAGTAAGGAGCCCCATGTTTACCTGGCTTAGACCTACACATTTTCTTTTGAAGAGCAGATGGATACTTTTTAAATCATAAATACAGACAGTACTCAGACTAAACTGTAGGCTTTGAGCTTCATTATTGTACTTGATAGCCGAGATCAACAAAGAGTTGCCGCAAGCACCATACAAATTATACTTTAACGGGGGCCAGAATGCAAATTTGTGAAATGCCAACTTTGAAAAGTAGAAGTCGCTTAGACAGGTTGGACATAAAAACTGTAGACACCTATCTAATGAGTACACACTTGAATGAAACAGTTAAAATTACTGCTTTGACTGATTAACCATAAACTCAGTCCAAAGATTTTTTCGAATAACCAGTTCCTGAACATTTGTCCATTTTGAGAACCCTACAATAAACTATGATACATTTCATCTTCCCTTTCAAATTTGTGGCGTTGATTTGTTCAGTGGATAACACCGAGTTTCATGTACATGTACTAGGGAATTGCAGCATAACTACAGTGAAATATTAAACTTTGAATTGAACGGCCTTCAAACTTTTCTACCTAAAGAAGGTCAGAAATGTTTATCCCCTGCTGTCTACGAGGGCAGTTAAACATGTTATATTACCTGGCGTGCTAGAGGTACTGTTGACAGACTTTTCTAGTGATGGACCACGTAATATTACCTAGTGTTAGAGGTAATGTTGATAGACTTTTCTAGTGATGGACCACGTTATATTACCTGGCGTGCTAGGGGAACTATTGACAGACTTTTCTAGTGATGGACCATGTTATATTACCTGGCGTGCTAGAGGTACTAATGACAGACTTTTCTAGTGATGGACCACGTTATATTACCTGGCGTGCTAGGGGAACTATTGACAGACTTTTCTAGTGATGGACCACGTTATATTACCTGGCGTGCTAGGGGTACTATTGACAGACTTTTCTAGTGATGAACTGTGCATCTTCTTCAGTTTATCAATGAGAGATTTGTTTTCAGGAGACTTGACCGACTTTGTTTTCTTTGTAGCCGTTTTCATGGGACCACTAGAATCTTCCGATTCGCTGCTGTCGGACGACATGTCCATCATCTCCCTTCCAACAGTTGTCGGGGTAGACCGGGATTGCCTTAACACACAAAGCATGCCAACAATTGTAATTACATATGTATAACATACATATACCCTAACCATATACTGGGATATTTTTGCTGTAGTTGAACTTTCGCCTCTTTCGCCCTCCATAAAGAGGGCAAATTTATTGTAACAGTTTCCTGGTATACAGTGTATGTAGAATATAAAAGAAGGAACTATTGGAAATAAATTAAAATATCGGCAATGTAGCTTACGATTAACAGTTAGTATTTAAGATATACATATTTATTACATACTTACTAATAAATACATTTTTTTTGTATATGCGATACGACACAATTGATCCGACCCATATCAGCCCTCGCCGTATCACACCCCAAAAGCCATATCAGCCCCCGCCGTATCACACCCCAAAAGCCGTATCAGCCCCCGCCGTATCACACCCCAAAACCTGTATCAGCCCGCAAAACCCGTTTCACACCCATTTTGGATTTTTTTTGTTTTTCAATATTTAAAAAGAAAAATTGATAATAAGATAGTAGCTTTTATTAGTAAGTATGTAATAAACAGAATAAAACATGCCTTTTTCCATATCACACCCAGTATCAGCCTTCGACCAATATCAGCCCTCAGGCTGATATTGCAGTCTCGGGGTGATACTGGGTATGATATGGAAAAAGACATGTATTATTCTCTATATATGTATCATGTATGAGCTAGTTAAAACCTTAGTGGTGAAATACTTATAAAACACAATATTGATCTTCATATTGTTAATCCTCGAAATCTATATTTTCTGCTTTTGATACACGTATCTTCTCAGCACCCCGTTGAATGTGTCATATAATAAAACATACTTGTTTTTTGTTTTCAATCATGTCAAAAATATCAAATATAGCCTCCTCTCAGTCTGAAGTATAATTATCTGTGCAATTGGATATTATTTGTCATGTATACTTTCCAAAGCATACTTTTTTTTAATCGTATTGAACTAAGCTTATTCAAGCTGTAGTTCTTAATTTCTATCGGTTCTAAAATTTTAATACTGAAAAATTATCTCGGTGATCATTTCCTTCTGTAACAAATGTTAACTTACTGTTGCCCTTTCAGCTCAGCGATCTTCTTCCTGATATTTTTACGAGTTACTTGTGAAGACGCGAGTTTCAGTCTTTGTTCCAGAGTTACTATGCTGTGTTTGGAACGGTCAGGGGTACCAGAATCTTCTGACATTTTGACCTTTGGTTTTTTCGTTACTGTTTGAACATCATCATCATCATCATCTGATTCATCAGAGGAACTCTCTTCCTTTGGTCTCTTTTTAGGCTTTGATTTCTCTGTTTTCTTTGCTTCTGTTGTGTCATCTGATTCCAGTTGTTTCTCCTTTTTTTCCATTATTTTCTTCTCTATATAACATAATAGATTTACGTTTTAAAACTGTTAATTCTCATATCAAATTTAAATACAATAATAACTAATGCATGTAAATTTAAGTTTTGAAAGTCCTATAATTAACAAATGTTTTAAAAGTCCTATAATTAACAAATTATTACACAGATTTAGGTTTTGTTATTATCAAAGTTCATGAATTTTGTTCCATGTTTCCTGACAGTTGGCTTTCTTCGTGGGCCCAAACACTGACTACTGACTACCTCATTTGCGTTTATAGTTAAAGCTGAGAATTAGAATTCAAGAGAAGAACAGTGATACCTAAACGTGAATGTATTGACATCAGTAAAATCTGAAGATTTACTAAAGATGCAGGAGCAAATGAGATTCCATCTTAGTGAATTTAGTTTGGAACCTCTGCGTTTGATATCTGGTAATTAAACAAAGGCATGAATATTGTCACTTTATGATGTCAGCGACAAATAGTTAATCACTGATATATCTTTTCAGCTGTGACACTAGAAACTTTATCTAAATCTGAGCTAGAACAATGGTAAAACTAATATGTTTGATTTATGTGTACCTTTTTTTCTTTTTTTCTTCTCAGTTGCTCCATCTCCTTTGGCGTTGGTTCCCTCGACATCGTCTCCATTCACTAGTTTAGATACAGTTTTACCCTCCTTTGCTTTTACTTTATTTTTCTTCTCAACTTTTGTGTGACTGTTGTTTTTTCTATTTTGGTTTTCAGTAGACTTGCTCCCCTCTGTTCTAAACAATAAATTTCGGTAGATACCATAAAAAAAATGTAAACATAACTGTATAAATAATAGGCTTCTGACTGAAATTAAACAAATTTGCTTGAAGTAGAATATTTCAACTTGGTTGGTCCGAAATGTTCCTGATTTGATTCCTCGAATGCTTCTTTATAAAATTTCTTTTTCTGATAAGATAGTGTCATTTTTCTGCATTGTAGAAATAATATAACAGGTATATAACATTTTTGTCCGATTCATGAATATTCAAATGGGTAAGATATTTTCAAAGTTTTAAGTGTTGAGGTAATTTTGTTCGGTATGCATGCTAGGTAAATTATAGAGATAACTGTATTTGGTGTGTCATTAATTATAGCATCAACAATTAACACAATTTTTCAGTTGAAGTGAGACAACTAATTTTGAGTGTGAATTGAAATTGTGTGTTGTGAGTTTCCTTGTGTATGTATCACAGCCTACATAAGAAACTATATAAACAGTAATAGCTACTGCAAAGTACAGACAATATCATTTGTCAGAACATTTTCTAAGCAACATTTAAACACTAATACTACAGTTTTATATTGTAGCTATGTGCTTACTTTTGTTACGTTGTGTAATTATTTAAGATCGTGCACACATTAACATGGTCCCAGTTTAATACCTACTGTTTGCTTAAAAGAGCATTAAGTTTCTGCTTTAGCCTCTTCTTTGCCTTGTCTGATATGGTACCATCCTTGAGTTTTTCTTGTATACTCTCTGCTGTGTGCTTTTTAATTGGAGACTGGCTGGGGGACTTCTTTCCAACAAGCGCAGCTTTACTTTCCTCTTCCTCCTCCTCCTCCTCACTGTTGTCAGCAGCTGTAGACGACTTACTCTTCTTCATACCTGTAAATTTCATCTCCGTTTCTGAAATCACAAAAAGATCATATCACTTTCATGAAATCATAATAAAAGTAAGATATTCTGTGACATTGTATGAAGCTTTAACCCTTTCACCACTGGAGACCAAAATGGACTCATCCAGATCAATGCTTGGAAGAATTTTACATATGGGTGAAAGGGTTAAGCTACTGCAAAGCAACACGTATGAATCCCTAATCACTAATATTTTCTTTTCCATAGACTTTATCAGAACATCAGTAAATGCTGATGTGATCCTGCTCTTTTGATGGCAATCTTGTCAATATTTTTAATGTGTGATGCAGACTACCATTCTACAATGTAACAATTTCAGAAGGGAAACAAAAGAAGAGATAAACAAATGTGACCTCAATAGATGGGTCACATGATAATGAAACGTTGTTTCATGTGACCTTAACAAAGAGGTGGCACCAGATGCTGCACCATCATGTAAGCTTATAGCCCGAGTTTCCTCTGGCCCTCACACCAGAGCGCACTGCTATATAAAAATGTGGAATTCTCTGACACCGCTTGGTAGAGAGTTATGAGGTGCTAATAACAAAAATCTACTATGTCACAACACATACCTCACATATATCAATAAATGGATTATTTATTGATATATATATCTTCAGACTTCTTTTTATATATCTTCTTGTTTGAACCGCATCTTTTTGTTGATTAGTCACTCCCCGATACCAAACGGTGTCGGGAGAATTCCACATTTTCATAAAGCAGTGCGCTCTGGCCCCACACCAGACATCTAAGCCAAAATGTCTAAGTCTGGTGTTAGGGCCAGAGGAAACTCTGGCTAATAAGCTTACAAGTACTCTGTGACATGTGAGCTAAATACAGGAACTCCGCTATAGATTTTAAAACTGAAGTAGATTGAAAATCTACCGTAGAGCGAAAATTTAAAGGTAACAATGACCACTTCAAATGGTGTCTCACAAAACACACGAAATGCTCATGCCAAGAGTTTTAACATTTACAAGCATACCCTTTTTCTCATCATCTTTAATATGTTTAGACTTTTTCAGTTTTTTCTTCAGTTTTTCCTCCACAAATGATGCCACACTGCTGATGTTCTTTGCGGACTTTGTTTCTTTAGAGGGCGAGGAAAATTGTTTGCTTCCATTGATTAATTTCTGCTTTACAACTGGAGGTTCTGTTTTTTCAACTTTTGCCTTTTTCTTGTTCTTCTTCCTGTAGAGTAAAAAGGAAATACAATATATTTATACGTGTTTCATGAAGGCAAAAAAAACCCAAAGAACACAACTATCAAGACTAGTCTTTAGCATCACAGATAATAGAATAAGATAACTTGATAGAGAAGCAAAATAGTTGAAAGGGAAAACCCTGAAAGGTTCAAGAAGTTACAGAGTATTTATGCAAAACAGATTAAAGCAGAATCTATGAAAGGAGAAAAAAATGAGTCAGACCTCAACTGTTTAAAATGTACTGTAACAGGCAGCGCATGTGAAAAGCAGATTATAATACATAGTCATTATTGGAGGCCACATTTCTGAGCTTTGATCTTTTGCTCATTACATTGTTCACACCACAAGTTTTGAAGTGCTTTCTGAGTGAGTTGGCATTCATGGGCATGGTGAATGCCAACTGGACAAAGACAAAGGCAAATTCAATGAAGTGCAATAGAACTTCATGTTGGATTTGCCTCGTCGTTGTTCATATTGCCCATGAGAACATGCCAACTGACAAGCTCACATCCAAATGTTAATTATATAGGCATACAGTATAATATGTGGTTCTGGGTTGTTTGGCCCGAAATCCTGTTTGCCCTAAAACAAAAATATTAGGGCGAAACATTGTTTGTATTTTCTTTCGATTTTAGTAGTTTTAAGTCACAATTTTTTTGTTTAGTCTTCCATATCATTAAAATCAATTTCATAAAACAATGTGTTTGTCTTGTTTTTAAGCGAGTGTGACAAACGGCAGCTGTGAAAAGCTAACTCCGCTCTCACCACATACTTTACATGAAATATGCGCATGTCTAACACCAATGTCATCGATAACTTTAGTTGATATATTTAAATATTAATCATTAGTTATATTAGTGTATAAATAAATATATTTTTTAGGGCGAAACAACCTAGGGCGAATGGGATGTAGGCATAGGTGTTTGAAGTTCTGACTGTGAATTGAGATAAAAATCATATAAAAAAATTAGGGTATTACTACATAAAAAAAGAAGTTCTTTTTTTTTATATAGTAATACCCTTATTTTTTCTATATGATTTTTATCTCAATTCACAGTCAGAACTTCAAACACCTATGATGTAGGTCGAAACAGCCCGTTACCATATATGTACAATAGCACTGAATATATGTGGTATGACAGTCAATCCCCAGTGCAGAATAAAAAAGCTTATTTTGCTTTGCGGGTACTACTGTTTAACGTTTTATATGCTTATATTAACGTCAGGCAAAAACACGTGTAACCCCCCCCCCCCCCCCAAAAAAAAGCATCATATCCCCATGCTACAGTTTCGTGTTTTTACGTATTCGCGTCATGTTTATAAATCGTTGGTTGCGAATGTAGACTTATACTTTTTAGATGGTGTGTCATCAGGGTCTGCGTCGAAGCTTTCATCGGAAAACCACGAGGCTACCAGTGATTTTGATGCTTCGTCTACCTCGAGTTCCATGTTGACATATATTTCAGAAGCACGTTGTGGTAGCTTCCAGAACATGCGCAGATGACAGACTTTTAAATTTGTGTACTTCCTGTTCGCCAGTCTCTCAACACACGTGGATTGGTATACACACATTTTATATACACGTTTTACCAGAGTCAGCGAAGGATTTCGAGAATTTACAAATATTTGTGGTGTACCTCCGACACAGAAAAATCAAGTGATTCTCGTCAGGTTGGTTAACTTGGCAGTTCATTCATCTATGGATTAACGATATTGTACGAGTCGACTAGTTCGATATATAAAGGTCAAAGGTCAGTACATATAGACTATATATAAATACATTTACAGTGTACATGTTTTGAACACAATCTAAAAGAAGTAACAGCTTTTGACATTTTTCATAAAAGAAAGGCCACATCATTACACCATGCAAACACCCACCTGCAAGTAGGGTTTTGACTATTAAAAACTAAAAGGTCAAGGTCATTCAAGATAAATTTCTTGAACTTTTTTTGGCTGACTCCATTAGTTCAATATTAATAGTTTCAATTGAATCAAGCTTCATCAGATTCTAGCTGGCACTAATTGGTTAATAGGATCTGTAATTACTTCTTGTAGTTATGAATAACTTTAATTAAAACATATGTCAAGGTCCTTTGAGGTCAAATGTTCAAATCTGATTTGCAGACAGTTCTGCTTGAAAAACTCCATTCCCTCCTCATAATTTTGGCCCCACCCCCCTGTTGTTTGGTAAAAAGATTTTTTGTGATATCTATACTCTACTTGTAAATGTTTACAATATCCATATATTACTTCTTTGCCCCATATGTATATGGATATATAGTTACAAAAACTGGTCAAAGTCCCTGGCAATATTAATATAATATTATAATAAAAATAACAATAATGAGAGACTTTACTCATGAATTCAAGTATAGATTGATTTTTTTCTTTAAATATCACAATTATATGCAGTTACACTATTTAAAACTACATAGAACATAACAAAAAAATATGTATCTTTAATATAGTGTTGAACTTTGGCTAATGACTAGAAATGGAATGAGTGTGTGTATGTGTATGGAAAACTGAATTGTAAATGTATTGATTATGTACTGTTAAAAAATCTTTCAAAAAATAAAAAATAAAAGATTTTCGTTTAATTACTTTTTTGAAAGTATGTATTTCTATGAGGTGAAGTTATGTATTGCTGAGATTTTCAACTAAGATTTAAAGAAAATTGTAAATGAGCTGCAGGCTAAAAGTTATCGTACTTTCGGCTGACACAGTATATTAAATTGTTATTTCATATATAACTTTAAGTCAGTGATGATCAATTTTATGTCTGTTACTTTAAGGGTATACGCAGGTAGCTTAGTTGGTAGACTGGAGTGTCTGACTGTCTGTATGTCTAGAGTTGGAAGGATCCTGGATTTGATATCCCAGTGACTGGTAGTGCATATTTCTGTTCCTATTACATCAATACAAAATTGGTGAGCTTGCCAACCCTTGTTTCAAGTGTGCCAGGTGAATGCTTTTGCAAGAGGATATACAAACCTTAGTTGTCTCTTCTTAGGGGCATCAAAGACTATTTATATTTAATAGGACTGGACTGGCCCGTTGATCATTAGTGACCAGGTGGCTCAACTGGTAGAGTTGTCCAGCTAGAGTAATTGGAGGGTTCTGGGTTCAAATCCTGTGTAGCGGAACAGGGTCGATCATCAGTGACCAGATAGCTCAATTGTTAGAGCATCCGTCTAGAGTTTGGAGAGTCCCGGGTTTTCGAACCCCGGTCTGGCTGTGCATTTTTCCTCTCCTGTTACAGTGGTGACTGTGACCAACCCTTGTTTCAAGCATTTGGTGTACACTTGGTAATTAGATACCCAAACCTGGGTTGTAAATAACTGTGTCTTCTGGCCCCGCTTGCACGAAACTTCTTAACTCAGTCCTCAATGCTTAACTTTGAGTATATGCTTAACTTAAAATACGTTCTTAGTTGAGAACGTTCTCAAATATTTGAGAACGTGTTTGAGAAAGCCAATTTTGAGAACTTCTCAGATAAGAACGTACTTAGTTTGAAAATTGAGAACTAAGAATTAAGAAATTTCGTGCAAGCGGGGCCTGGGGCGAAGACTTTAAAAAAAGGAGGGAGGAATGTAGCGCAACTGGACTGGATCAATCATCTGCGACCAGGTAGCTCAATTGGTAGAGCATCCATCTAGAGTTTGGATGGTCCTGAGTTCCAAAACCCGGACAGGTCATGCATTTTTCCTCTCCTGTTACACCTGTCCAAATCAAATTGATGGGATTTTCCGCACTTATTACACATATATGCAGTCAACACAGACTCTAATGAAGCAATTCATATAATTTAATTCTTACTTTCTTAGACAGCAGATATTTAATATATCGATAATGCTGAATACAATATAGATATTATAACAATACAAGGGTGCCTGACCAATCATCATATTCAACCTTATATCAATTTTACATTAGACCTGCTTGTTAAAAATTCAACATTATTAAGCTGGTAGTATACGATGTGCCGAAAACATTTGTTAAAATACATTAAAAACTTCCTCATGATGCATGAATGTTCGGAGTATACTTGGAAAGTTGTAGTTACGCAATATTATCAATTTAAGTAGGAAACCTCACAGGAAGTGTACAATCTTTCCATACACTTATGAAGTAGTTAGTAGGAGATGCATCCTGCTTTCACCAGTTGTGACTGTTCGATAAAACATATCTGAAGTACGTATACTGTATACATGTTTATGCTGTGTGAGAACTTAGATGTCAAAATTGACAGTACTTATCTTATCCAAGTCTAACCAGGACACAGTCGTACTGCAAGCACAGGTAAAGGTGAAACATGCAAAGCTGGAGTGTGCAATTCCATAGGTATAGGAATAATACATTTTGTGATAGTAGGCAGACTAATGAAAATTTTCGTAGGTGGGCTGGTAGAATGTGGGCTTGTACTCTAAATAGTCTAGGAAACTGTACACCACTGCCAAAGATCACTGAAGTTAACACACGCTCGTTTCAGATACAAGATATCTTTTTCAGGTCAGATATTAAAACTCCATTCCACTTGTTACCCCCAGCTAGGCCACCTGCGTTTCAGTGACGACAGCGATAATTTATATGTTCTGTGTTTGGGTATGCACCTCGAGAGCAGTCTGTGACACTGCAGACTGTAATAACAAATGTATGGGGTCAATCAGACTCGATGATCTTCTTGACAACTTGACATCACATCCGTGCATTGTTGGTTTACAGATTGTGAGAGATGTAAGCTGTATATGACCGGCCTACCACACTTTCAACATGACCGAGACTAACTTCAAGGCGGCCTTACTGGTCAGTATCTTAGTAAAGTGTAATTTATTTTATTTTCATCTTATATTTATTGGGTTGGTTGACTGAAAATAATGTATGCTATTATTTTCTCGAAATAGTATTTTGATTTTTTATTACAATTTAAAACTTGAACCTTTGCAAAAAAGATAAAGGTTTGCATATAAAAAAGAATTGTGTGCAAAAAGAAAAAAAATACAGGGTCAAACAATTTATTGGCATGTAGGACAGTTCTTTAATATGTGCTTGTCAAAGGTATCTCGCCATGTTAAACTTCTAATATTGCTGGAGTAGAGAGTAGTTGGATGTAGGTATAACTTTTCTATACTGTGATAGGCTGGAGCATCAGCTGGTGTGTCTGTAGATCTGTCGCTGTTTCCATTGGATACCGTCAAGACCCGCCTACAGAGTCCACAAGGTTTCTGGAAGGCTGGTGGATTCCGAGGAATTTACTCCGGCCTACTTCCCGTAGTGATTGGATCAGCACCTACAGGTATAAATCTAGCTTTTTATTACAGTCAGTCTAAAGAACAAAGTGGACATGCTACTTATATATCTTAATTTCCAATGAAAGCTTCAGAATAATGTGATGTGAATTGCTAGAGAATTTATAGCTTTATAATGTCTGAATAACAAAGATGCCTATAGGATAATGATATTTGGGCCATAGCATTCTGGGAAGTTTGTTCAAATGGATGACCTTGACCAAATTTGGTCTAATTTTTGTAAACCTTTCATTATCTTCTACTGAATGACCAGGAGGCCTAGGGTTATAATTATATTTGGCATGTAGCAATATGTTAATAGTGTAAAGTAATATAAAGAGTGGGATTTGACTGAATGACTTTAAAGAACAGACTAGTTATATATGTTACTTTCAACAAAGATCCATAATGTGTAGAGAAATGGCATTTGGTCGATTAAAATAAATGTGACATTGATCAACTTCGAAGGTCACAGGTTCAAAATGAATTCAATCACAGTTAAAAGTTTATAGCAATACAGGCCCATTGGTCCCCTTTTAAAAGTTCAACTCCTTCCTCTCCAAATGGTTTACTTTTCAAAAAGATTACTGATTCAGGGATCATTCCAATTGGAATTTCACATTTACGGGTAAAAATGTCCATGATTGAGTGACTTGGTGGATTAGTTTTATGCCTTCACAACAGCTTTGGTCATACTTAGGGCGGTGTCCGCTTGTGATCTGGCCATCACACTGGAATATCATAGCCTATTAATTCACTTTATTTGAGTTGGCATTTTCATCTCAGAGTTGCTAATCATATTTCATCTGACAGTTAAAAATGAATTTTTTAACCTGTATGATTTTTCCCAAATCTCCATTGTAATTCATAATAAAACAACAAATGCTTCCTGTGCTGTGTTAATACTTTTGATTTGTATATTTTAGCTGCTCTGTTTTTCTGTACATATGAGCTGACAAAGACAGTGATACAAAATTCTCTAGGTGAGAATTGGGCAACAGCATCACATATGATGGGGGCCTCATTAGGGGAAGTGGTAAGTACACAAATAGCATCAAACATGATGAGGCTACATTTGGGGAAGTTTCTTCCAAGATGGCTGCCATGGGCTCTAATTTGTCAAATCATTTAGGGCTATACTTTGAGTCCTTTTGAGCCAACATTGTTCTTAGTTTATGGGAGTAATACATGCGAGTAAGGTTTAGATCTTAGTTTTTCCAAGATGTCTATCATGACCTCTCAATAGTGGAATCACAGCTGTCGCAAACTTGTATCTTTGCTTACATAACATACAACATAACAGTGTCTGTCACAACTAACATTTTATTTTAATATATCGTTAAACCCATTCATTGAAGCTTGTTTTTTACCCTTAGTCAGCCTGCTTTCTTCGAGTTCCAGTGGAGGTTGTGAAACAGAGAGCTCAAGCTAACTCAAACCTGACATCACGATCAATACTTGTGTCAGTCCTCAAACAGGAGGTGAGTACTAGACTGACCACACCTGATATCTCTGTCCATACTCCACCCTCAAACAGGAGGTGAGTACTAGACTGACCACACCTGACATCTCTGTCCATACTCCACCCTCAAACAGGAGGTGAGTACTAGACTGACCACACCTGATATCTCTGTCCATACTCGCACCTTAAACAGGAGGTGAGTACTAGACTGACCACACCTGATATCTCTGTCTATACTCCACCCTCAAACAGGAGGTGAGTACTGACTGACCACACCTGACATCTCTGTCCATACTCCACCATCAAACAGGAGGTGAGTACTAGACTGACCACACCTGACATCTCTGTCCATACTCCACCCTCAAACAGGAGGTGAGTACTAGACTGACCACACCTGATATCTCTGTCCATACTCGCACCTTAAACAGGAGGTGAGTACTAGACTGACCACACCTGATATCTCTGTCTATACTCCACCCTCAAACAGGAGGTGAGTACTGACTGACCACACCTGACATCTCTGTCCATACTCCACCATCAAACAGGAGGTGAGTACTAGACTGACCACACCTGATATCTCTGTCCATACTCGCAACTTAAACAGGAGGTGAGTACTAGACTGACCACACCTGACAGACTGACCACACCTGATATCTCTGTCCATACTCCCACCTTAAACAGGAGGTGAGTACTAGACTGACCACACCTGACATATCTGTCCATACTTCACCCTCAAACAGGAGGTTAGTACTAGACTGACGACACCTGACATATTTGTCCATACTCCACCCTCAAATAGAAGGTAAGTACTAGACTGACCACACCTGATATCCAGGTACTAGACCACAGTTCTCATTTCTTGCCTTGAACGGCAAAGACAAAGTTTTCAGACCCTATCTACAGAACATCAAAAGGTTGTACGGGTACATGTAGTTGTATAGATAACCAGTCATTTACCATAAGTTAAGTGCAGCTGGTACTGGCAATTTGTTAAAGACTTGATATAATAGTGTTAACTCTCAGGACATATACAGATCATTGTTTGGGCGTTTTTTTCAAGTTAATGTGGCACTATAAACGATATCTAAATTATTTTCCACAAGTAAACCACTTGTACTTATAAATATCAGAATGATTTTAGGAATAAGACGGTCAAATATTTGACAGGTACATGTATACTATGATAAGGGTAAGAATGGGTTGAAAAAATGTCTTCAGGTAATTTGGAAAATGTGACTGACTTGGATGTTATGCTTCACTATTTATCTTAATTTTCATACACATAAGTTTTTGTTTCATTCAGTACAGTTGATGTTATTTCCTTACAGGGATTTCTAGGGTTGTACCGCGGCTACTTCAGTACTGTGATCAGGGAAATGCCGTTCTCTTTCATACAGTTCCCCATATGGGAACATCTCAAGGTAAGCAGTTGTCAAAATAATCTGATCTTATTATAATTTTTAAATTTGATGGTTGATACTTTGAAAAACATGTAATGAAGACATCAAATATTTGTGGGGACTTTCTTTTGAGGTTTTAAACTTGCAATTTATTTAGTGTATGAAAACTTTCTCGGATTGGTTGTATGTTTAAACTTTCTTGTACATGTACTTATATGTTATGGCCCTGCTGGTCGACAGGTCTGAGGCAGAATGAGGTTACTGGTGTATACATTAACCCTGTAATACAAATTGGCTAGGGGACCAGGACAAAAAATAAGCGCAGAATCGTACATTGATTCTATAAAAACATAAATCAGATCACATGTTTACAGACTAATATGTTCAGAAAAAAAAAGTTAAAATGGGATGAATTTCCTGTCAACCTACTTATGTGTGGAAGCTAAGGCAGTGGAACATCACCTACAGAAATGAGTAGATTGCAAAACAGCTGGACTGCATAAAGATTATAAATAGAATCATAAATTTGAGAGGTTACATACACAAATCACTAAAATGAATAATGACTGCTGGATTAGTTAGTGCCGACTGTATCAATGTCTTGTAGGTAGCTTTAAAGTAACAGCTTCCTATGGTATTTCCTTCCTACCTGCAGATGCGATGGTCGTCCTACCAGGGTAAACCTGTAGACCCGTGGCAGTCTGCAATGTGTGGAGCTGTGTCAGGTAAAACTCGGCTTTAATAATGCTATCACATTTAAATACAATACTACAACTAAGTTTGAAGCTCAGAGGTACTTTCACATTGATAGAATTAAATTCTGTTCTACGATATTTTGTTAGGATTTCTTGGATAAAGTTGATTATAAAATCATTTGAATGCCGTTCATGAGGCGCAATAGTACAGTGGTTAAAATCTGGTCAAATGTGTATGAAAATCAGTGACAGTTAAGGCAATGTACACAATGTCCAACTCAAGTAGTAAGATATCTCAGACTAGAAGATATCTCAGACTAGAAGATATTTCAGACTAGAAGATATTTCAGACTAGAAGATATCTCAGACTAGAAGATATCTCAGACTAGAAGATATTTCAGACTAGAAGATATCTCAGACTAGAAGATATCTCAGACTAGAAGATAAGATATTTCAGACTAGAAGATATCTCAGACTAGAAGATATCTCAGACTAGAAGGTATTTCAGACTAGAAGATATCTCAGACTAGAAGATATCTCAGACTAGAAGATATTTCAGACTAGAAGATATTTCAGACTAGAAGATATCTGAGACTAGAAGATATTTCAGACTAGAAGATATTTCAGACTAGAAGATATCTCAGACTAGAAAATATCTGAGACTAGAAGATATTTCAGACTAGAAGATATCTCGTCAGCTATTTCAAACAAGTGCTGCAGATCTCCAAAGCCAATTAAGAGATGGATATCTCTACTGACTTCAGTAACTTTCTCTCCTTAAAGGTTGTATAGGAGCAGGAGTGACCACACCCCTTGATGTGGCTAAGACAAGGATCATGTTGGCAAAAGTATGTATTAAATACAGCCTCCAATCCCTTTGTAGTGACACTAATAGCAAATCTTACCAAATAATAGCAGAAAAGGATAGAATTATGTCGAGTAACTCTTTCAAAACGGAACACAGCCTTGTTATGAAACGTGACATATAACAGGGCCAAAGATTTTGCTACTTACTCCCTTTTGCTTTGATGCAGCTGTGTTTTCATCCTTATAAGTATTTTTAACGGCAATCAGTTGAAACTTTTTAATGTTTTTTCGGTTGAACACCATTTCTATTTCCTGGTATGTGATTCATTTCAGACGGGAACTCCACTTGCTACAGGCAATATTCATTTTGCTCTAAAAACAATTTACGCAGAAAGAGGTCCCAAAGGGTAAGTAAAAAACTACCAGGGATGATTTGGATTTCCGAGTTGTAAACTTTAAAACAAAATTCGAAAATGGATGATACTTAACTGATCAATTGTTTTCATAAGGTGTAAAACCTGAAGACAGGTGAATTTTTGTGTGAAGTAAACCCATATATTTCATAATTAATTTTTAAGAGCATACACAATGTTGGATAATAGACACTCTTAAAATTATAACGGTTTCATTCAATACATATTTCCCAGTGTGTAAGCTGTTAGTGTTTGCAGCGATTCTTCTTGATCTCTTGATTATTAACGTTGTTGTTTATAACATACTTTTTTTGTTTCCCGATATGACCGGGAGGTTCCCAGTTTTTAGCATCAAAACAGCCATCTCCCGTTTGTCCTGTTTTGACATGGAAATCTCCCAAAATAGATCTATCATTATAAATTTCCATTAATACTTTTGTCGCCCCAAAATTAATGCTACAGGTCATAACCTGTCTACCTTGAGACACCGACATATATGAATATAATATAAAGAGTTTTTTAGGTCACCTGAGCTTTGCTCAAGACCTATTCTAATTGCTTTTCGTCCGTCGTCCGTCGTGCGTAAAGTTTTTACATTTTCAACTTCTTCTTTACCCCAACCCCTGGGGCCAGGGTGGGGCCCGGGTGGGGCCCCGAAGGGAAAATTAACCAATGTTTCAAAAATCTTCTTCTCCGGACTCAAAGGTACTACATTCAATTTCAGTGCATAAAAAGAAAGATCATCAGGGGCTTTATTTAAACTGAAAATATCAGGACCCCGAGCTATCCGTTCTCCCTTGGGGAGGGGGTAAATTTTACTATAGTTTATATAGGGAAATAACACTTTTGGGTATATTTTGACAACTTTCTGTAGGAAATTATTTTACTTGGTGAGAATTATCCTTGGAGGAAGAAGGTTTCAAATTGTAAAATTGGGATTCCTACCCCAACCGCTGGGGCCAGGGCGGGGCCCCAAAGGAAAAACTAACCAATATTTCAAAAGTCTTTTTCTCCAGACTCAGAGGTACTACATTCAATTTCAGTGCATAAAAAGAAAGATCATCAGGGGCTTTATTTAAACTGTAAATTTCAGGACCCCGAGCTATCCGCTCTCCCTTGGGGAGGGGGTAAAGTTTACTATAGTTTATATAGGGAAATAACACTTTTGGGTATATTTTATCCATTTTCAGCAGAAAATTACTCAAACTTAGTCAGAATCATCTTTGGTGAATGAAGGTATTACATTGTAAAATTAGGATTCCTGCCCGATCCCCAGGTGCTAGGGCGGGGCCCCAAATGGAACATTTACCAATATTTTCCAATTCTTATCCTTTGATGACATGACAAGTATTGTATTTCTCTTGGTTTACATGCTGATTTCCACATCACATCTAAACAATAAGATAAAGCTACCAGTATCTATGATATAACTCAGGTGACCGCTAAGGCCCTTGGGCCTCTTGTTTAATGTTGGAGTCGAAACAAATTAAGTGGTTGTCAAACTGAATGCCGCCTTTACATACATTCCTCTTGCATGTTCCTTAACAATGCTACTGTGGGCGGTGTAGTGCAATGTTAGTAGAATGTTTCCTGTTTTAGTAATCTTGATTTAATATTATCAATGGTCAGTATGTTTTTGTTTACAATGGAGAATACAGATTTGAGTATGCTGTGTTTTTTCTTCCAGTCTGTTTGCGGGGTTGTTACCGAGAGTGATGTGGATTTCCATAGGTGGCGCTGTGTTTTTGGGGGTGTATGACAAGGTCAAGGTCACAATAATTGACCTCTGTGAAGAAAGATAACCATGGCTTAAGTTTAATTTTTGGTTTTAAGATACTCATTAAATAGAATGTTATAATTGAATTTTATGTAATATCAAAAATCATTATTCCAATAAAAAGATTGTACTGAATGTATTTAGGATATGATAAAAACTCATATTTGTAACACACACTATCATATGTTAAGTCTCTGAAATCATCCGAACTGGTGAAAAAATCAACCTACAGAACTGTGAGTTCAAGATTTATGAGAACCATATAGTCACAGATCAAATATGTTAGAATTAGAATAAACAGAACCAGGTGAGGAATTATTCAAGGATCTTGTATCTCTTGTTACTTTTACCAGGTAATGCTGTGTATAAAAATCCATTCCAGACAGCATTCACAACTTTTCTTAAGTAAAGAAGAATTTATGTTGCCATATCCAGCATAAATATTATACTAAGGTATTATTGATAAGGGATTGAACAGGTAAACAGTTCAACCTTTCAGCGAGTGTCTGGACAAAGGGAGATAACTTAAAAGGAGCAAAGCACCTTGCCTCATATTCAGAAGAGAATTATTTGAGAAGTTGACTATTGAATGTAAACTTTATTTATTTTATAACAATTATGAAACAAGTTAGTTCCACTTATATTAATCATTCTTGTTGGCCCAGATGTTAGCATGTGAGGGGTTTTCAATGTAGGAGGAAATGAGTAACAAGAGAAAACCCACCTTTTCACATCCGATCGGGGAATCAAAACTTACCTGCCTTGGTGAAAGGCAAGTGGACTATCAACTGCGCCACCTGACTGTTGACTATTGGAAATCACCATTGAAGGTTAAAAAAGCTAAGAACAATAACAGCTTTGTTACATGGTATTTTGGGTAACAATATAAGATGGTATAGCTATCATCGATTTCTTATTTCCAGTGTCCTCTGGAATTATAAAATGCAGTTTCTTTGCCCTTCAGAGTCCTAAAATGTGGCCTTTCACACTGTACTGTATTAGCTGCCTATCTACCATGTAGCTAATAATGATCTCATGGAATATCCTGTACAATAGCCTGAGTTTCCTCTGGCCCCGACACCAGACAGACATTTTGACAGATACATGTCTGGTACCTAGCCTAAGTTTCCTCTGGCCCTGACACCAGACTTAGACATTTTGACAGATTCATGTCTGGTACCTAGCCTAAGTTTCCTCTGGCCCTGACACCAGACTTAGACATTTTGACAGATTCATGTCTGGTACCTAGCCTGAGTTTCCTCTGGCCCTGACCCCAGACTTAGACATTTTGACAGATACATGTCTGGTACCTACCCCGGGTTTCCTCTGGCCCCGACACCAGACAGACATTTTGACAGATACATGTCTGGTACCTAGCTTGAGTTTCCTCTGGCCCTGACACCAGATTTAGACATTTTGACAGATACCAGTACAGTTTCTTATGAGGTATCAGTATCCTGTAGTTGGTCTAAAACTTTAACTGTAGCTTATGTGACATAATAGATTTAGCATAATATATGTTGTACAATGATATGGGGTGATGACTGATTATTAGAATTGTTTGTTTGAATGTTATCGTGTTGGTTTTGATGAATCGTATATATGTATAAATATGAACTATGATAATGTTTTGTTTTAATTGGTCTTATGAATCTGTGATATATGACAGGATAATTTAGTGTGTTGTAAGAACCAAGGTCTGGTTTGGTTTGTTTAACATTTGTCATTATACCCTGCTGTTTTCTGCAAAGATAGATGCTTGAGATGAGGGTAGCGAAATTATTTTCATGTATGATTATGTGTTCGTATGGCTGCATATACATTTAAATTATTATTGAATTGTGAAAAATGTTTGGATAATTGATTGATTGATACTGAAATGTCTTTATACACATGTTTATTTCAAGATTTTCTCCCTTGTAGATGAATCAATGAAAACGCGAACAACAGTTATAAAAGCTTGCTATTAATTTCCATGATATGAATCAATTGTGCTTGGTAAGGTTTTTGTTTTATAAAAAATAATTAATTTTTGGATGCTTTTATAATTATTTGAAAATAAAGTGAATTTAAATGCATTTAGGATTCTTCAGAAATTGATATGAAATACGTTGGTGGGGATAGGGGGGAGGCATTGTAGTCGCAGTTTTGTAATAATGTAGGGGTTTGGAATCTAAGATTATTGTTAAATTACATTTCTAAAAATCCAAATATTTTATCAAACCATTTACAGTGTAATAATACCATCATGTAAATTTTGTAGCATATATTAAACATTTACAGTAGGGAAACATGATTCTTTGTTTTCCTGAGGTTATCTCATTCACCCCTGAAATTTCATAATGGACTATTCCAGCCTTTGAATTTAGAGGGTTCAAATGTGTCCTCAGGCGGGAAGGAGTTAATCATGCCAGACTATTTTATGAAATGTGCATGGCAAAGACTTGTAGATGTTATAATCAGTGAGAGATCAATAAAATATTTGTTAATTGAAGTAATTAGGCTTCTTTGTGGTATATTTGATAATTGGTTTGAGTGGTTTACAAATCACACACAGAAAGGTATAGACCCTGAACTCAGAACACATTGAACATGTAACTTATTAGATTGCATGGCCTTCAAACAACATCATACATCTTGAGCATTCACTTACTGTAATATTACATGTTTATAACATTAAACATTCGGGGTTGGTTATACAGAGGTTCCTCAACGAGTGTTTGTTTAATATAATGTTTATCTAACTTTCAATAGTTAATTTTCAAATTCTATAAAGATGCGAGGTGTCTATTGCAATTTGAAAAACAAGAGGCCCAGAGGGCCTGTATCGCTCACCTGGATACCTAAGCAATCATGGCAGAATATTCTCCAAATGAGATCAAAGGAATATGCCAGACCCCAAGGCCAATCCTTGAAGCATATCTGTATTAGATTTTTCATTGCCAGCAATTTCATGTATGGTTATGGGGTGGGAATCTTAACTGTTTCCAAGCTTTGACTCAGAAACTAGGTCCCTAGGGTTGTGGCCAGACCCCAGGATCAATTCTAATATCGTGACTACATTTGTCTCTTTTTGCCCAGCATTTGTATATATAGTTTTGGGGTGGGGATTTTATCCATTTCAAAGTTATGACCCAGGGATTAAGTCTCCAAGGGTGGGGCAGTCCCCAAGGCCATCCTGGAAGCATATGTGCACTCATCTCTTTATACTCAGCAATTGTATATACGGTTATACGGGGGGCCTCTCAACTGTTTCCAAGCTTTGACGAAGAAACTAGGTCCCTAGGGGTTCAGTCAGACTCCAGGGTCTATTCTGATATCATGACTGGATTCGTCTCTTTATGCCCAGCATTTGCATAAATAGTTTTGGGGTGGGGATCTCAACAGTTTTAAAGTTATGGCCCAGGGACTATGTCTCCGAGGGTGGGGCCAGGCCCAAGAGTCATCCTGGAAGCTAATGTGCATTCTTCTCTTTATACTCAGCAATTGTATACCATGGTTATATGGTGAGGATCACAACCATTTCAAAGTAATACACTTTTTTTTGGCCCCACCCCTTAGCCCGGGGGTCAGCCCCACCATTTGAACAATTTTGAATCCCTGCCTCCCACGAATGCTTCCGACCAAATATGATCAATATCCATGGCATTGTTCTACAGAAGAAGTCGTTTATATCAATATAGCCAAATTGCCCCCTTTTGGCCCCACCCTCAGCCCCCCGGGGGTCAGCCTCACCAATTGTACAATTTTGAATCCCCACCACCTAGGGATGATTCCAGTCAAATATGGTTGATATCCATCTCTTAGTTCCAGAGATGAAGTCGCTTAAAGCAATATAGCCGAATACCCTTTTTGGCCCCCGCCCCTCAGCCCCATCATTTGTACAATTTTGAATTTCCACCACCAAGGGATACTTCCAGTCAAATATGGTTGATATCCATCGTTTTGTTCCAGAGAAGAAGTCGCTTAAAGCAGTATAGCCAAATTGACCCTTTTTTACTGCGCCCCTCAGCCCCCTGGGGAGTCAGCCCCACCATTTGTACAATTTTGAATCCCCACCGCCTAGAGAATCTTCCAGTCAAATTTAGTTGAATTCCAATCAATGGTTAAGAAGAAGTCGTTTAAAGAAATTGTTGACGTAGGGACGGATGGACGCAACAGTATGACATAAGCTCACCTTGATCCTTTGGACCAGGTGAGCCTATAACTAACAACAATTAGAGAAACATTATAATCAACCATCACAAGTTTGGGGAACTTTTTCTCTCACATCTTTTAGATATTATATCAATAAAACCGTACTGGTATGTTTCTCATGGGAATACATTATTCGTGTTTCCGACTGGTAAAAATCACAAATGGAAGATTATGTTGTAAAGCATAGAAGATTGACCACAGAAATACCTGGCAATGTTCCAGTTAGAAGTGGTTAACAAAAAGTGTTAATTACCAACTTCTAGCAGGTAAGTTATCCAAAGAGTTGAAAGTGAGGAAACCGAAACCTATAGTTGTTTTGTGAGAATAAAATCAATAATGTGGAATTTTGATTTCTTGTAATAAACAATAATACAACACCAAACATGTGAGGCACTGATCATATTATATAAAAGGAAATAAAAAAAAAATAAAAGAAGAAAAATAATACTGGGCTTGTCCGGGATTTGAACCCGGGACCTCTCGCACCCAAAGCGAGAATCATACCCCTAGACCAACAAGCCGCCATACATTTAAAGGGACAAAACAATGTAAATATATAGAGAAAATCTACTTTCATTATCGACCATTTCCGGCAGAATTTTGGGGAATCCTTCCTGAACTAGGCCTACTCGTACGTGTGTGTATGCTCGTATCAAATGTAGGTAAGCTCATTTTCAGATAATTCCTTACTAAGCTTTTCACGAGTTCTTAAGAATAATTGATAACAGTGCACCACATTTTTTTTAGTAAATAACGGTACTGGGGCCAGGCACAGGCGCTTGTGTATAAAATACCTGCAGGAGCTAAAATCCAAAATCCAATACTTACATATATATCATTATATTAATTTTATATAACATATATGTTATTAGTGGATTTTGGATTTTAGCTCAGGTATTGAATACCAGATACAAGCGCCTGTGTGCCAGGTTAGCACTAAATTATATTTAAAACATTTGCGTTTTATCATATCAACCAGAATTCATATGCATCACCTGTAGTCGTCCAATAAGTTAACTGTAACTGTCTAATAAGTACACAAAAATCCACTCATTGGACAGCTACAGGTAACTTATCGGACGGCTACAGGTAACATATTGGACAGCTAAAGGTAAGCTTTTGAATGAGCACATAATTATGCTATACCACGGACTTTTGCTAATCTAATTCCGTGGCTACACAATGGAAAACATAGTAATACAATAAATGTTTAAATGTAACACAGAATTTAAATATCAACATTCTTTAAGTATATCCGGTATTTTTATTCCCATAGTCAGATTTCCCATGCTCTATATAATTTTTACTTGAAAGGTTTGAATCACAGAACACTCTTTTTACATGAAACATCCATATAGATGCATACATATCCAAACACTTTACTGAGAGACACATTTCTATCATTAATTGTATTTTCCTTTGAATTCGTAGTTTTGGCAGTAACACTTTGGAGTTGAGGGCAGTTGAAATCTTGCGTTTTCCCCACAATTTTTGCTTGATATATTTTCAAAATGAATGATTCATATATCTAATATACTGTTTACTTTGATTTCAGATAGCCCATGTACCATTTAAGGAAATGACATGTGCCAATATACACACCAAGTAAACATCGGAACAATGATGTTGTGACTGCTGGTCATTTTTTAATTAGGTGGCCTAAAGGTGTGAATGATGGAAAAGAATCACAAAGAGGCAATTAGGAAGAACTACACTTTCATTATTGAAAACTTGACGCCGGAATCCGTAGTGGACTCTCTTCACCAGGAGGAAATTCTCACTATGTATATGAAAGAGGATGTAGAAGTTTGTAAGACCAGGCGAGACAAAGTCGTGAAATTGCTAGACATACTTGTGAGACGAGGGCCCAGGGCATTTGACAGTTTCATCACGGCACTCCATGACACAGAACAGAAATTTGTGGCAGAAAAACTTTTAGAAACTGTACAAATTGGCCAGAACAAACAACTGCTCAATGGCATGGAAATTTAAGAAGAATTGTTCTATTATTGGTTCCAGAATACAATGTAAAACAATTTCCCATGAGTACAGAAGACAGTTGGAT